GTTTAGCAATACCAGAAGGCCCTGTAGTACTGCTTGACAGCCGCTGAAGAGATGCACCTGAAGACATATTGGATGACAGAGTTTACCCCTTCTTACAGGGTAGGACTTACATTATAAAACCCCAAATCTGTAGGCGCAACGGTAAGTCTATAAACAAGATCCTCAATTCAATAGTTACAAGGAGAATCAAGAAACAATTACCTCTTCCAGCGGATTCCAAAGGGAAACGGACCCAAATACTCCAAAGAAGAAATCCGCATAAAGGTACCAAGTGATATATGATGATACGCAAAGGGACCACTGCGCGAGCAAGTGATAATTAGTGATTTGGGAGCAGGTGAACGCGAACATGATCTACATATAAAAGTGATGAATGGGAACATGATTGCAAGTGAGTGAGCAACGGGCCTAATCCCTGCCTGATATCATCCAAGTTGTCTCACGGCCCCATTTGGCGACACCTCCAATCACGGTGATAGTGAATTTATCGAGTACCTACGGTAGCTGTATATATGTAGGTACATACTCTATACGCACTTAGGGCCCATACTTTTATGTTGTACAACTTAATATCTTGAGAAGGTGTTCCTACAATGTCAAAATCAAGCAGCCGGATGATATCCAAATATGTAATAGAGATTTGAAAATTCTACGTGATGTAGTAAATGCATCATGGTACGATTGTGCTTGCAGCCAGTTATAGAGGACGGTTGATTTAATGTCAATCTAATACCATCCAGGTAAGGGGATATGGATTGCATATTGGTTTTAAGTGCAATTGGAATATGTTGCATACAATTTCCATCTAGTAATCGACTCGAGTTCATCCCCCCTAAAAAAAAAGAAAAACATTTAATATAGCAGATGGCTTGGGGAAATATTCATCGAAATAAAGTGAGCTACAAATATAATCCATTTTCCATCAGCAAAAAATGGGTTTCCCCAAGACGAATTCCGGCACCCAGATGCCTAAATTCGTCTTTTGCCCCCAAAACCTCGTCTTTTGGCTCTGGGATCTCGTTGTGTATCCCCCTATTTTTGGCCGCTCATTATTCGACCACAAAACATTGTCTATTTAGAGCTCCAATTATGAAACCGGTCGTGCGACCTCATTAGCTCGTCTTTTGAATCAATCTATCCTACGCTCATCTTATGCCAAATGTCCCCATCTTCACTACCCGTCAAAAGACGAAGATGGCTCAATTGGGAAATCCTCGTCATTTGACTCGGATATAATTCTATCCAAAATCCAAGTCCAATAATCAGTTAGTCTAAAATACAAACTCTAATGACCCCCGGGCCCGTCTAATACCTTCCAACTAATATGTACAATACAATCTAGTGCGTCGAATATCCACTGTTTAACATGTCTAAGGACTCCCGTCTAATTCCCTTTTGTCTTCCCCGTTCGTCATAATCTCCTCTGCTCAAAACTTATCGTCAGAAGTCCACCTGTTTAAAGTCTCTTGTCTGGTGTTCATGTTGTCAGTATCATTATAAAAAACTCAGTCCAACGTCCCATCTTACTTCAGTAAATTGATCTGTATGTCAATAGATCGATCATACTATTGATAAACCATCTATTGTTCATAGATGACATTGTCTCAGGCACCAAATGAGCGGCGCTCAAAATGCTTTTTATGTTTACTACCCATATATCGTCAGGAGAGCTTGAGCAGCGTGATACCGTTATTAGCCTGTGGTCGACGTTGGGGTTTCCATTGAAATCCGGCTTCAATAGTTGTATCGCAGCCAGAGGTCTGGCCTTCCTTCATCTTGGGTCCTTGAGCTTAAAGACCGCATGCAGCCTTGCTGGGAATAAACTCTGCAAAGCTTCCAGGTCAGCCGGCTTTTGACTAAACCAGACACAGTCGTTGCACGCGTTTCCCTATCTGTAACCCGAAGTTCCCATCGTACGAAGTGTGTGAATTGTCCTCTCATCGCCCTCGCCGTGCAAAAGAACGGGTACGTTGAGCTGTTTGAATGTGTTTACCCGCCAGCTATCGATGTCTTCGGACATATCTTCGTATCCAAGACATAGTTCCTTCCTGAAATACCGCCGGATTTAATACACCAGTCTCTTTGCAGCACCTGCGATATCTACATTACCGACATTTGTTAATTTGACTGGGCATTTGACACACCTCTTCTCCACCCTGGTGTCGTTTGGTAAATAGACCAATGGCGCAATATCCTGCGCTTGAAACGCCGGGCCATCCTCAGGGTCTCTAAGATCCAGTCTTGTAGCTTGCATCCTCCTCCTCAGATTTGGCTTTAAGACGTCGAGATTGCTGATAAGCTCAGTGGTCGAAAAACCATCCCGGGCAATTTGTAGAAGATTTAATTCGCAAATGGAAAACGTATGATAACAGTTAAATGTTCGAAGTCTCTGGATTGCAGGATCGACGCGATTGCTCCGACGATACGGTACTTTGATCTGATCCCTTTGGTCTGACTCACAAGACTCTATCGAATAGTCTGTAATATTGCCGTATTGACGAATGTGCTCTGCGAAATGGCACATGAGGTGTATCTTGGGGAAGTTGAAGTGGAATTCTGCTCGCAAGATCTCGTCGGTTTCTGCCTGGAAATTTAGCCTTTAGTCTGCGATAACCCTTCATGTTTGGCCTAAAGAGTCATTTAGGCCTGCTAACTCGATGTCGTATTCCCTGCGCAATTCCCTCCGTCGTTCCGCCACAAGTCTGTCAGTCGCTCTAGTCGTGCGATATTTCCTGAAGATATCCTTCGTCCTATAGAAAACCTTTAGGTAACTATGCAACATGTCTATCATTAGCTCATTATGAGAACGATGCTGGGTGACTAGTGCCCAGTCGACCAATGTCCGGATGCATTGAAAGGTTTTCTTGAATGGCTCTGCCTGGGCAGATGACGGATTCCTGAGGGCAGACGCCAGGGCTGGTAAGATTATTTTCTGAAAATTACGCATCTCCTTCCCTTACCATTGACTGACCGCTTGATAAGGCATCGTCGGTGGGTAAATACAGGGTAAGGTGGCATGCGCGTCCATATGACGTTGAATTCATCCAAACGACCATGTTCCTTCAGGAAGTCTTCCAGCCTCTCCATAAAATGTTTCAGGATTCCCAAGTATATCACGTGCAGCATATCTGGCTTATGGAGGTCATAGGCTTGGATGAAGGGGAGATTCCAGAAAGAGTTGTACAGAGGTCGTAAACCACGAGAATAGAACCAATTGGTCAGCGTCTTCAGCTCCCGCCTTTCATCTCTCGTTGGATTCTCCAGTACCTTCATGGCCCTGTACTGACGCTACGTTCTCTTGTATTCATCTTGATCATGAGGGTAGGTCTTGAGCAGTTCAGCTTCGTATTCGCTCAGTCTATTCATGGGTATCTCACACTTAGGGCACAAGTTGAATTTGGTATTCAGAATATTGCAGCTCTCCATGTGGTCCGAAAGTCATGCCGTCAGAATCGGCCAACAACGTCTCTCGTACCCATATGAGCAGCCCATTAAGACACCAAGCCTTTGATCAAAGTGCAGCAGAGGCTCCAGTATAACTGACATGACTCTCCTCAGCATCTCCACCGCCCAGGACCGGGGTCTCCCCTTTGACATCGCGTGGCCAATTATCTTAGGAGGTATTGGCAATAGTGCGAGTAGCAAATGCGCTTTAGTCAACGGCTTGGATCGTACTTTTCCTGGTATATTCCCTATCGTTATATATATCGGACAGGTCTTCTTATTTCCGGAGAGGTTTGTCAGATGCGTGACGTCAGAGCTGTAGATAATCGGGACAATTGTGGCCCCGGTAGGAAGTCTTTTCTGCATATTCCACCACCCTTCCGCGGTATGCATCTCGGAATAGAGTTGATATCCGTCCGCGTCGTAAACCCTCTCCGGCTGATAAACCATGCTCAACTTGTAGCAACGTTGACTCAAGAGATACCTCGCGCATTAAACCAGATTCCTCTAATATAAGCCGGTCGTTCTTCCAAAGCCGTCCCCGACGGTCCCGTATTGAAAGTTAGGTGGGGAGCTCATCGTTTTATCTAGCTGGTTTTGGAAAGTATAAGCGGACTGAAAGGAACGTTCATTCTTTGTCGTCTTGTGCAACCCCTCATTGAAGTAGGCATCAATTGATGTAGAGGTCAGCTTGTGCTCGATAAAGAAACGAGCCAATCTCCATTCCGCCGAGTGTTTGAACGGTGCTCAGGGCTTCCAATTCTCTTCCATATAGTCCTGATAGCCCTGGACCCGCCCTAGTCTTTGTCCACTGCTGGGTAGGTATGCTGTGGCCCTTTGATTATTGTCAGCTTACTCTAAGATCGGGGGGGCGATCGCCGCAGGGCCATCGTCGTCGGAGTCAGGGTCAAAGTCAGATTCCGCTTCAGAGTCGGCTTCTGAGTCTGTAGAATCGTCCGAGCCATCAATTGTCAGAGTAAGCATACCAGGCCCGGCGTCTGGCAGAGTAAATGTACCAGGCCTGGCGTCTGGCTCCGTAGTTTCGTCTTCTAAACGTTCATCCTCAAGCGCATCGTCACCGCCATGATGCCGATAAATATATCTTCCAAAATATTCCGTGCGATGGTAATACCTTGGGCACAGGGGGCAAGGTGTGGATGAGATCTGCTTTCTTGATCAGTCGTGATGGTCTTTTGGCTTGTCGTCCGTGTCTTTTGCTTCATCGTATGCCTCATTCTCGCGTTCACTGGCACTTGTGTGGAGTGGGTTTATATTGCTGGAATTCTGACTGAGCAAAATGACGACTGTAGCATAGACCAACGATCATTTCCCCGGGGTCATCAGCTGTCAGCCAAGCTTTGCCAAGCACATGTGACCTGATATCACTCATCACAACATCGTATAACCTCACCATCAACAGTTGCAAACCTCCTTCAAAGCACTCGTTTTGGTTCATTTATTAACCTAATCTGGTAACGATGAGCCTTTGTTTGTCATCCCCTGCCTTGTGTATATGGTTAGGCGTTATGAGTTGCCGATTCTAGCATACCCTCACAATGGTTATTCGCACAGTCTTTGTTCTAAATAAGGGTCTAAATACCCCGTTGTTTTCCCAGAGTCTATCCTCCTGAAGACATCCACCAACGGTCAACCGTCTTTTGACCACCTTCCTAACGCAACTGACTACAATGGTGGAAACTCGGTCGTGTAAGAACAAGTCGGCATTAGTCCAAGCGGAAACGTCATCTCCGAAGAAAAAAATAGAATGGGCCGATAAGAAGGGCCCCTAGGTTTTGTCGATTAGCTGAGCAGCGTGCATAGCAGGGGTAAGATTTCTATCAAGTCCTATATCTCTCACCCTCTGACGCCCACCAGGAGTATGCGAAAAAGAGCAAATTTACTGGCGCCGAAGTCAAGTCCTTGCTCGGCATTACGCCGGCTCAATGGAGGAACATATTCAAAGCTGTGCACGACTACTTTGTCGAGAATGCGATTGCCAGCAGAACTATGGCAACAGATGAGCAATGGGACGAGGCCGTGAAATTCCTGCTCAGTTATCCGCCGTGGAATAAATTCAGATGCCTGCTTCAACAGCCGGAGTAAGATTGCATGTTACAAGGGGCCTTGATTAAAGTCTGTTTGAGCAGTATACTCTAAAATCTTGCCAAACATAAGTGTAATGAGAATAGAGAGAAGTTCTCTGAAGCACTTAAAGAGAAGGAGCGTGTGGCGAAGTCAGCGAAGGTGAAAGCAGCGAAGAAGAAGGAGACCAAGGGCAAGGCGACCGACACAAAAGGCAAGGGCAAGCAGCTCGAGGCGGCGCCAATTCGCAGTTCGACAAAGTGGGACAAGCAGGACCAGACACCTCTGCCCGATGACGAGGACGAGGTCCATCCTGATATTGATGAATTTGCTTCGTTGGAAGATGAAGCGGAGAAGCCGAGGGACAAGACTAACGTCGGAGATGAGACGGATGACAAAGAGATATCTGAGGAAGCCAACGAGGCCTTCTCGGTGAAGACTAGAAAGGTGGAAAGGGCATCATATCTTACTGATCGGCCTATCGGTATTTCGTATTGTTTCCCCTCCAAATACCGCTTTGAGCGACTCGGAGGAGCGAAGTTGAGGCCACTTCGGAAGCCTTGAAAAATGCCTAATTGGACTCCAAGAACCTTTGATGGGCATCCCTACCAGACGTTTAGTTCACTTCCCGGTCCGTATCTATCGGCGGTTATGAGGATGGTCAGGGGGGTACAACTAGACCCTGAAACCCGCAGCGGTCCTTCTGACTTACCACACCCGACGATACGCCGTTTGGTCGGGTCTCTTGTTCTCGACGAGGAGTTTTTCAAGACCACGTCGGGTCAATATCGTGTTTACCAGCCGTTACCGGAACAGGTCATCTTCCTACATTCGGACAAAGATGTCAGAGTATGGCTCAATGCTTGTAAAGTTACACCGCGACTGAGACTATTGGTGGTTTTTAATCAGCGCGATGAAAATGCCAGCCGACCCCACTGCGGCTGTCATTCCCCTACTTTTATGGTGACTGGGAGGTGCTGATGGACAATCAGTTGCGGATTGACCGGAGAGCATCGGGCATCAAGGGTGAGGAGACAGGAACTCGTTGGGGGAAACCGACGAAGAGGAAGAGAAGTGAGATTGTGGAGGTGAGTGACGATGCCGACGACAATGACAACGACGACGACGCTGACGACGACGCCGACTACGACAAGGAAGGCGATGGTGAAGGTGGAGGGTCGAGTTCCCGTAAAAAGCCCAGAGCAGAGAACGCCAGAGAGGGCAGCTCGAGCAAGGTGGGCCCGAAAGGTAACGTAGGGGGCAGCTCGATCAAAGCAGCCCAGAAAGATGACAATGATAGCGACAACGATGACAAAGTGCGCGAGGAGGACGATGACGTCGCCGACGAGGAAGAAGAAGAAGAAAAGGACGAGGAAGAAGAGGAGGAGAAGGCATCAAGGAGAAAGAAGACAAAGACACCCGGGCTCAGGATGCTGGCCAAGACACCGCCATCAAAAATACCTGAGCCCAAGACGCTGGCCAGGATGCCGCCATCAAAGACACCCGGCCCGAAGACCCTGGTCAAAACACCTGCTCAGACTACTGCTGCCCAGCGAGGAGGGAAAAGGTCGAGAGCGTAAGTTGGGCTAAATTCTGTACCAGTAGTATAGTTTCTCCTAATGTGGCTAATGCGGTCAATACGTTAGACTCCATCTGTTCGATGAGCCTGCTGAGAGCCCGCCCTATGGAAGTGAGCTGGAGGAAGAGCAAGGGGACTTAATAGCAGAGTTTCATGGATCGACTAGTGGATATACGGGGTTACGAAGAGTCGGATTAGTCAGAAAGGTTCTATTGGGTTCTACCGGGTTCTGTTGGTTGTTAATGTATGAGTCATGTTGGATTTGTCATCGCTAGGATTTCCTTGAGTATATTAAGGGGGGTTGTTTGTATTTCTCGTTCTTTTCTTCTTCTTCTTCTTCTTTCTTTACGCAACGTCTTCTGTATCTACGCTGTCTATTGTTATACAATATTATCGTCCTATTCTCTCTTTAAGAAGACCACCGCCTCGCTTTCTCCTTGTCCCGTTGAACCTTATCAACGCTAGAGTCCCGCAGGACCCCTATTGCGAGTTCCCACACCATCCCCTATTACACTCTTCGTACCCTGCGGAATACTCGCTACCTACCCCCTTGAGACAGAGTACAAAAGCCGGGCTACTGGTACAAAAGCTGACAGCACTCCGGAGTCTGAAAGAACTACGCAAAAAGAGATGTCTGCTGAAGAGCCTGCCGGGGAAGATAGTTACGTTGATGGTGGCCCTGATGGGGGTATTCCTCCCGGCGGGCGCGGGGACGAGTCAATCGATATGGAGGTGGATTACCTTACCGATGCATCGGCTAGTTCAATTGAAGTGGCTAAACTCCAAACAAATTCGCATCTTCTCCAGTTCGTACACCCCCAAACCTCCCCTGCTCCCACTAACATCAACCTCCCTGACCTCCCTGTGAAGGGCTGGACTTCCGGCTCTCATCCTGTGACTAGAAAGAAACTTCGCTTCGAGTATCACTGGTTGATAGTAGGTTGCACGCCCCAGTCCCCTGCTCGTGAGTTTTCTGACCCTAGTTGCAACCTTTAGCTTTTGACGGTTGTGCTTCTCGTCTTTTCCTCGGCCTATCTTTTATGGCGGTATTTTTTAGCCTCTTTAGTGGTTGTTGTGATATGTTTGGTCTATCTGTTTTAGGTGGTTTGACAGTTGTCCTGATCATCTTTTGGGGTTAGTCTTATCTTTATTGGGTCTTTTGGGGGTTAGCCTTATCTCTTTCGGGTTATTTGATGGGGATCCTTGTGATTTAGGGTTAGTGATATCTGTTAGGGTCTTTTGGCGCAGGACGTGAGGTGAGTTAGGGTTAGTTAGAGTTGGGTTAGTTTTGGATTCGTCTGATCATTAGTAGTATTCTGTTATTAGGAGCGTCACTCGACCGAATACAATACAGTGATGAGTATGTTGAGCAAAAAGACGTAGCCGACGCCAAGCAAGTGCTTAGTCATCTGACAATCCAAGTCACGTCCGACCTCATCTCTTCTCCTCTATCCAATCTGAAGGCGAGTAAACAATTTCTGTTGTTCGCTTTGCCTATGACGACTCTAGTAAATGGACTGGATCGACGGAACACAAATATCAGTAAAGGCCGGACAGGAAAGGTGCGGGATTGTAGCCTTTTTCGTCTCCTGCCATTACCCACTCTCCGGGAACTCGAACTTGCTGGGGACGCCAACTCGGACTTGAGAGGGTTTTGACTTGACCGCCCTCGACTACCCGCACACGATTTTGTGAAATGGTGTGAATCTGTATTATTGTAGAATTGAGGCTAACCCTTGGATTTTAGGTTTTCTACTAGCATGGCGATTGAATGTCCGTCATTTGTCTTCGCGTCATTGGCCTATATCTATCGGTCAGTGTAGGTTTCGAATCAGACTTCAGCAATTTGACCAGAAGGCGAGTAAATAATCTCTGTTGCTCGTTTAGCCTATATGACTCTAGTCGCGTGGACCGTTTGATTAGCTGTATAATACTCATGCCAAAAAGCAGTAAAGCTCAGACAGGAAGGGTGCGGGATCGAAGCCTTTTTCGTCTCCTGCCATTGCCCACCCTGCGGGAACGCGGGCTTGCTGGGGATGCCAGACTCAGACTTGAGACGGTTTTGACTTGACCGCCCTCGACTACTCGTACACGATTTAGTGGAAGGGCATGAATCTGTATTATGGTGGACTTATTTAGGCTAACCCTTGGATTTAAAGAGCTCGGAACAAATCGCGGGACATATCTCCTAGCGTTGTTTGCCTCTAGCTATTGGTCCGTATACGGATAAATGACATCACGGCAGAAGTCGCCTTCTAAGTCATCTCCCCACTCCCCCTTCCCAAAATTCTTTTATAAAGTTGGTACGTTGCACTGCCCATCCTACCGACAAAGACATCCTTGACAATGCCTCAACGAGAGAGTCAGTTTCGTTTGTCTAAATCCTCTCGTCCCTAGCAAAACACCTACAGAGAAACTTCCTCCCATCGGAACACCAGGTCGTTTAGCAGGGACAGATGACCGACCACCCAAAGACATGTATGAGCTTCACAGGAGATTCCAAGCACCTTTCCACATGACACAGCTAGACGATTGCCTACGAGATCGTCACAGGTGCGAGGATGAGAAACGGAGTCTGAAGACAATGTCTCCGAATACGGGGACCCATCACAAAGAGCTTCACTGATTGATTTACAGCTTCATGGCAAGATGTATTTGACAATAGACGGGAGAGTCCATGCCCAACAACCTACGAGCCCCCACTCTCAAGCCTACCACCCCAGGAGTCTCAATTTCAGCAATCTTCGTCGAGGGATACGTCACCATCGGTTACACGAAATAGAGAATCTGACGCGAACCAGCCGCATGACACTTTTTATGCCTCTCCCGGGTGTGGTAATAGGTCTCCTACCCGTTGAAACACCCTAACTAGTCAGATACATACTCACTCCGGTCATCAAGATTCTGAGTCTATTAGAACATCGTCGGGAGGGACCCACCCCGAAGCCCATCGTCAACTTTCTGAGCTTTCTAGACCGGCATCGACAAGAGCCCCTTCCGAAGTCATCAGGAGTACAGATTATGCTAGTGGCAGCGGCGGTGGATATTCTGGAGAGTCGTTGTCACAAAATCTACTAGCGCCGGTAGACCCTACCGATCCCAACAAAACCAGAACTCTCCGACATCGTAGCTTAGGGCAATTCGACATTGAGCTGAAGACTCTAATCGAAAAAGCTGGTTGGCATCTCACCAAAGAGACACTATTCAAAAACCCGATGCCCTCGGTATTAGAATTGGCGTCCATGGTCAGAAATTCATGGGATTTTGTCAGGGCGGGAACCGACTTTCCAGCAGAGTTGTCGACCGTTGTGTCCGGATAGGTGAGGTTTTATCATCAACGGACTCATTCACACATAATGGAGAAGGTAATGGTGGTAATCGCATTATATTACGGCCTAGCTGGCATGACTAACGAGCAAGCAAAAGCCCGTGTCGATTACCTCCTGATAGATGACCTTTTCAATTGTGATCCTACTTATTACGAGGTATATCCACTGTTTGTCCAGAGACACAGATTTGATACTAACATCTTTAACCCGCGCAATAGTACTTTGCCGCACCTCAAATACCGCGTTTTATCATCTACGCCTACTATAAGACCAATCGTGGGATTGCCGTCAATAATTCGAAATTTGAGAGTTGTATCAACCCGTCTTTTATTTGCCTGGTTTCTACTGTACTTTACTATTCGCTGAGAGTCCATGTAATTGGAGGCAGCAACTAGAAGTATAGTGTCTTCAATAAGGACTATTGCGGCGGTGAGCACCCCGTCTTTCATCTGGTCAGGTTATTGACAGGCATCATTATTGATGGTGGTGCTAGTAATTTTCAAGAGTGACATGCGTACATGGAAGAGATCCTTCCCCTATCATGAGACATCAAATCTAGTACTGAAGGGGATTTGACACGAGATATTGAAATGGATTAAGAGGACAAACTGCTGCAGGATTACTGCTATGGAGAGCAGGGAGGCAATTATTGACCCTGGAGTAGGCAGCTTTTTGGAGGGTCTCCGATGCAAGCCCAGTATGGAGACTGAGGACGACGATATGGGGTCCAACGAGGCAGGAAGTCCGCCATTTGATGATGACGATGGGGAGGAGGGCAATGTCACTCCATCTACAGTTGGAGACTATGTAGTCGATGCAGGAACCCAGATAGATGGGACTATTGGAACAATTACCGGGATCAATGTAAATATTGAAAACGATGTAGAGAGAGATGTCAGTATGATGCAGAGCGGAGAAGAGCGCTCAGGAGAAGTGGTCAGAAGATGGAGAGGGTGACCGCGCAGGAGTAAAGTACAAAGGGTCAGATAGCTCTCACCTAAATAGATGAACTAGCTAGAGCGAGGGGCGTTAAAAGACAATGAATCAATAAACAGTATCACCCAAAGAAAATTCAAACTTAGAATCAAGGGACGGAAAGACGAAGAGTTTAGACCAAAAGACGAGATATAGTTGCCGTAAGACGAGATGTACGAATGAAAAGATGAAGAGTTTGAACCAAAAGACGGGATAGTTGTTGGAAGGTGCAGATCAGTGAAAAAAGACGATATAAACTGTCAAAAGACAGAGAGTGCGAGCAGAAAGACGATATGTAGTGGTCGAGATAGGCAGGTTGAGGATATAAGTCGACCAATATGACATAGGTAATGAGACTAAAGGCGAGGTTACGAGGGCGTAGGACGACTTTCATAGACCAAGATGCGAGCATAATGGTAGAGGGGCTACCTCCTATATCCAAAATACGAGCTCGTCTTTAGACGTTGGGACGATGTCTTTGAGGGATGGGAGAAGGTTTTCGTCTTTAGCCTTCACGACGTCATCGGTTGACCAAGAGATGCAGAGCTCTCGTCGCGGGGCATCCAGGTTTCGGTATGCAGGTAAGAAATCGCTTTGTGTTATCTGGAGCGTCCGGGGTATCTGGGGCGCCCAGGCATCACAAGACGAGACGTCATTTTTTGTTAATGTCACCTGAATTGAGGATATTATGGTTGATATTTCGTTCCTAAATTAAGACTCAAAAGAAATCTTCTATCCAATAGAATACAGTATCTCTTCTTTTCCTCGTAACTGGTCTGGAACTACATTGTGTTTTTACCTTACCTGTAGTATATATAAAAAAGAAGGTAGGTTTTTTCTCTTGTGCATGCGGGCTTATACCTACATGTAGTGGTAAAGCTTGAAATTAAAACTGGCTAGGAATATTTACACAACATTTGCAACTACAGCCGTGTCTCCCTATAAGGGTATGATGGGACCGCAAGATGGTCCCCTTATAGGACAGGTACCCTTCTAGGTTTGTGGGGGTTAGAGTTTATGCCCAGGCTTAAGTCGGTTTTCGAGATTTTCGACAGTTCTGGGGGTAAATATTCTGCCTGTTGGGTAGGATGTAACCTATAAACTTAACGGATATGATATAATACAGTGTTTTGCGTACGGGAGTTGGAGCAAGCTTGCATTTTGCCCTCTGTAGCAGACCATTTTCACTAAAATAACCCCTTACCCTCATTTCTCTATAAGGGTACAGCACCAAAAACCATCTCAAAGTCATAAGGGTATTCTTATAGCAAGAATACAGCACTTTACCCTTAATTTACTATATAAAACAAATGGGCCCCTACACCGCACTCCTTATAGGGAGACCCGACTGTCCTCGTAGTTTTTTGGCGTTTCCGGACGCAACTGCTATTGCATGCCATACAAAAGATAGCTTTGGCGAATTTTTTTCTGTGTATGCAATAGCAGTTGCGTCCGGAAACGCCAAAAAAACTACGAGTACATGTCTCACCGTGCACCTCGCGCGCTCTCTTAGATTTACAAAAAAACAGTCGACATTACGAGTGGAAGAAAAGCAAGCCTATTCAGCCTAGGCTGGTCATGATATATCAATGCTTAACTGGTCCGAGACATCGACAGACAGATAATTATATAAGGGAAGCGAAGTTAATAATCGACTAGGCTACTGTATATATCTGGGGACGTATTTCCACAGCTATGCAAGGACTGCCTTGCTATTCGACTCTCAAGGCATATCGGTCAATGATCTAATTAATGCACTTCCTGACACACACACGTACATGGCCATTGCACGCAGAAACATTGGTGTGAGATTGTTTGCAGCTATGGTTAAAGAAAGCATTGCCGGTCTATAGCTAGAGTACACTGCGAGGCAGAGCTCAGCGAGTAGGTACAGACGTAGGAAAATAACTACATGTAGGTAGTACTTATTACCGACCCACCCCCTTTCCGTGTTTCTGATGGGTCCGGATGTGACAACTATTAATCAATCGAGAGCTAGTTGGTATACCTGCATGGTGTTGCAATTGATGAGGGCAACGTCACGGATAAAATCATGATATCATTATTGAATGGAAGCCAAGACTGCATAATGTAAGTTCCCGCACCGGTACTCTACCACGTTAACAATTAATCTCTGGATCTACTACTCTCTGCTAGAGTATTGTGCCGGATAAGTAAGCAATAGTAGATGTGTCAGATTACCATGCCCCTGCACATAATAATGATAATTCTATATACACGCACAATTAGCTACAGTTTATCCATTGAAATATAAGATGTCCTCTCTACACTTCAATACGTTTGATTTGCGAGTACATATCTTAAACTTGCCTAGACCTTATCTCAAGCCCTCTTTTGAATCGAACATCGATAATTCTGTGTTTTACGGTAATCATTCACGAAATCGTATGCAAGCCATCTGTATAGTTCGTCTATCAACCATCATTTATGCACGCCAAGAAGGTAGTGGTAGAGTATCATTTTTTCGTAATTAATCTGCACTAGGTGTCCCGTTTCAAACGATCGATATCGGTGTCAAGATCAAGTACGATCACCACCTAGTCCACAGTTATTTCATAACATTGATCATGGAATTCTATGGAAGCGATCTAGAATTAAGGTCCTCTTCTATACATGCGGCGCAGCATGCAGTAATGTATGTTGCATTTATTAGACTACTCTACTAACATGCATGCATGGTCTGTCTCTGAATATCATGAAGCTAGCTGACTTGTCATTTTATCCCCTTCGAATATACGGCTGGTCACGAGACGAAATTCCTGTATTTGGTTTATCTCCCCGGCCCTCATACTGCTTTGAAAAGGCAACTTAGACGTCTTGTATGACCGGACGACTACTCGAATTAATATTCAAGATCGTCGATAGATCTAGAGTACCTTCATTCCCACCTTTTGGTCGAGTTTTTTCGACTCTTTGAAAATGAATTGTGGGTGCACTGAAGACTCCATTGCATTAAAAAAAAAAAGAAAAAGAAAAGAGAGAAAAAAGAAAAGAAAATTAGGCATCGTTGCGATGAGTAGACGAGAAAATTTAAATCTAAACCAAGAAAATGTTGAAGTGCAAGCTAGATTTCATCAATATGGTGAACCGGCATAAGTGCTACAAGAAAAGAGATTTCTGGTGGCAGGTGATGGCTCGAGGGTTGTTACAAGCTCTCTGAGGAAAGGAACTGGTTCTTTCCTCTCTTTCCACGACTTCCTTCTCTCCTTTCCCATTACTCCTTCTTCCACCCTCGTCCAATACGTTTTAGACCCACATGATGGCTCCTGTATCCTCACTTGAGACTCGAAGCGTGGAGTTTTGTTAGATTTATGATACCGCCGATTAGGCAAGGGCGGCATTCGAAAGGAATCGGGTCTCAACTCCTAACTTTCAAAACTCATCATCTGAGCAGTCCTCGAACCCAGAATCGTAATATTTGTCTGTATTTGATAGGTCATCTCCGAATTTATTTCCGAAGATATCATCCGCGGTAACGTCGTAGAACCCTTGTGCTCTCCTTGTTGGACCTTGCTGCCGTGTGCCGTGGACGGTCATGTATTGTATAGCTCCTTCAACAGTATCTGATATTAAGAACCCACACTCAAAGTCGATTCCAAATCCGTACACCCCAGTGGTACACAGCACAGCAAGTGTATCTGTACTGTGCTGCCAGAGAATCGGCGTTTGAAGAACATGCTCTAGCCCAAAGGCATCCAGAATCTGCGATTTATAGTAGCTATCATCATCATCCTCTGCTTGCCAATCCTCACTAAGCAATCCGCCACCCACGAAATTACTCCAGGACTTTGTTTTGTCGAGTTCGGGTTGATTCTCCTGCGAGATAGAGAAAGAAGTTGAGCTCGAGGATACATTTTGTGTTGAAGAACTGGCCGGAATTTGGCTCTGGTGATCACGAAGCGCCTGGAAATCAGGTTGAGAACCTATGGTGGGGCGCTTAGGCATAATTGTGAATATGTATCGGTTTCGTAAAATCATTAAGATTGAGGTTGATAGAACCCCGCCGTCGACTGTTGATTTGGATTGATGGTTAGGGGACTCCTGTGTTGATTGATCGTCCAAGAATAGAACTTTGAGCGATATCGAAAAGCTGAGCATAACGATGCATGCTAATAGACTTAACATAGGGTACCTTTTGGGTTCCTCGAGAAATCTACCTATATCTAGAATCAATATTTGGGTATTTGAGAAGCGTAGGAGTGTTATACATGCGCATGCCCAAACATAGCCTGTTGTGTTTACTGGACTACCTGAAGTGTTTCTCCATGTAGTGTATGGAGTTGGTTTCAACATAGAGAGAATTATTCCTGTTGAAATCAACTTGATGCTAGAGAGACGAAGCTGTAGTATGAATTTGGGATACGTGGGCCTTTCCGGAGACGTCTACGTATTAGCTTATATATAACAATATATATATACTCGGTCCTTGAGAGCAGCGTAAAATTGTGGAACAAGCTGCTTGCGGTGGGCGTGTCTTGATCTAGCAAGAAATTAAACTTAATAATAGTATATATGTCATAAAGCCTTTAGTTCAGAGCTAGTGTGGAGGGGATATCTACTCGTAGTTTTTGACGTTTCCGGACGCGACCACTATTGCATGCCATACAAAAGATAGCCTTGGCGGGTTTTTTCTGTGTATGCAATAGCAGTTGCGTCCGGAAACGCTGTGAAATTGCGAGTACCAATGTACCGGGGTGCACGTTAAATACCAAGACACCTTGGAAATTTCCCATGGCAACCAGAAAGTAGCCAATGAAGTTTGGTCTTGGCCCTGAAATTTGTATGGGGGAAAAAGTCACAAGACGTTTTATTTATGTTCGCTTAAAAACCCAAATATTTTCCTAAAAATACAAAGAAATAACCAGTAAATAGCGCTTTCTCACATCTCCATCCGGGTATCACTTTGAAGCTATCGAAGATGTTTTGGTGAAGTTCGAAAAGAACAGGAGTGGAAGGGAGGTTGAGGAGGTTGCTTTGCGAAAGCTGCGGGGCACACCACCCAAATACCTGCTTGGCTGCCAAGTGTCAAAAATATTTACGTCAGCCCAATCAGAGCCCTCACTTTTGAAAATTACCCAAAACGGGGTTCTCAGTACTTACCCTTAACCCCCGGTACGTATATCATTTCATTCCCACAAGATCCATATGCAGACGTTCACGTATACGTAGAGTACATACATACAGCAAGTAGAGCGTGGAGGAAGCTCCGAGAGCTGAGGCGTGAACGTGGGTGTACGTAGGAGCATACATATAAGTGGAACCGGAGATTTAGATTTAGGTACGTACAGTAATCACCGTTACGCTATTCCGATCTCTCCCTCCATGCGTAAAGACTTTCAACCTTTCGATGGGAGTCTTCCGCAAGACGTGGTGATACGTGTCCCGAGTTAGAGCCGGACTGTAGATACATTTGCGATAGAATTAGCTGATCAGGGAACGGATCTCCTGAGAGCTCATTATACTAAACAAAGCGGAATATCCGGATGTTTTTCGAATTTCGGAAGGACGGGCAGGGAACTCTTGGGTTGATTGGGAAACATCGGAGGTATAGAGTCAAGTACATGTAGTCTGTACCGTTATTTTGGTTCATATCCCACGGAATCTAGATCTGTGAATTTAATCAATTGTGCTACTCTGATCATATCGACGGGAGGAGTCCTATTGGTCCAACCAGCGATACAAACCATGTTTTCGGAACATTGTTTCTACAAAGTGTTGAATGTCTGATTTTCCATAGACGTCTATTTCTGTATGCGACAATAATTTATTGCGTTATATATCCCTCTAAGTCTCATACCCGCTGCTAAATTATAAAGAGTAGATCATCCCAAAAAAGCCAGCTGATCAACGTCGACCCTAACCGCATATAATGATTAAAAGTATTCTACTCAACCAGCTTGGTTATATATGTACCATTATTCTTATTCGCTCTGTGATCATTTAAAGATCTGAAAACAGTATACACCACGGCCAAAATCATACGTGTCAATAGAGTCTTTTAGCTGTGCGAGTTGAACAGAAAGTCGAGCAGGTTGGACAGAAAGCTAGTCTAGCTGTTTTCGGAAGAGACTTGCAGTCGTTCAACCAACAAGATGTGCCAACTCTTGCAGCTAAAAGACTCTAATTCATGAAGATCGACAACTATCAATCGGAATCCCTACCATACGGGGCTGACTGAAACTAGGTTCATAAATGGGGCCGCGGGGGGGGGGGGGGCGTCTTTGTGCCTGAGTGGCCATGGGCTTGATCAATATGTTGAGCGACAATGTAGCTCTTGTACCTGGACCAAGTTTGACCACATATACACACTCGCGTAGAGTATACGTACGTGTAACCACATGCAGGTCGAAGACCAAACAGGTCGAACGTATGCCTTATCGTTCAAAGGAACATCTCGACTCAGTACATATTTGTATATACTACTGCTACACCAAACACATCTTCAGGATACATACTGGTCAATCAAAAGGTAAGAAGCAGTGCTTTCCAAATAGAATGAGTTCTAAGCATGCAGTACAGCAGTATTTTACGTACCTATATGTAGCTTCGCTCACCGCCCATGGCCAGCTACCCATCAAGCTAGTTAGTCCCGCAAGAAAGATAGCACGAAGGTAGTATCAATCGTTCGGGTTCTCACGACTCTGTACTCCCGCCCCGCAAAAAATGTAATCTATATATTTTTGTGTCTCTCTAATTGGTTTGTAGCACTATAGTTTAATTCCGCCTGGACCGGCCAATCGGGGTTGATTTTAGTTTTTGGGATACATGTACATACTAGAGTATATTTGCAAACATAGCTATAGGAGAGTAGAATAGAAATAGAATCTATGGTCTACTTTACATCTACTGACGTACAAGTGTTTTGAGGCCTGAATCAGGTGAACTCTGCTTTCTATGTCGTGAAATCGGAATCATCGAGTCATGTCAGGATGGCAGTCAGGAGATGTATAGAAGCCCTGTTTTCTTCGCGTCATAATATTCCAGTGAGGATATAATTATATATAGAACCACCGGCCTGATTGCACGATATTTCAAAACATAAAACACTCGTCGATACCTATTATAGAGAAGATTGAACAGGATCACAGAGATCAAGTTTATAACTTATAGCAATAAGCCTGGCCTGCAGCTGCGCGGCCGCGTGACCACTTGATTTATGAACTCAAACGCAAGGAGCTGACTACATCATGTATTGTAGGTAAGGTATCTACACCAAGTATTAGTGATATCTCGCCACAGTCATCTCTTCAACCCGAGTATATCTGTCATCTCTAGATCTCCTGAATGTGCATGTACATATATTGGATACTAACTCCGTCCCCTGATCAGTCCGTTGATGTCGGTGAAACCCTAGTTCCACCTAAAGGCTGCTGCCAAGAACACGGCTTTTCCAGAACGCGTTATTTTTTTATAAAGCAATAGATCTCTCATACGTATGTATTTCGAATTGGCAGACTAGTATGGGATATATGGCCAAAGATCTTCGAGATGACATTCTGATTATTTTGTATCACGTGTCTTTAATCTACAGTTCTTCAGCGCCATCGGTCCTTAAGTTTTACTTGGGCAATAACCATCAATTATCACTCGTATATTCCAACGTGATGCGTAGGTACTGCGTTACGCTTGAAATGATATAAAAAAAAAAAAAGGTACTGCGTTACGCAGATCGGCGGTCACAAATTAAGAAAACAATATCGAAACCCAAAACCGCCCCTTTTCATTTCTCAACGGGCGCCGGGCATTGTTCCTTGGGTGAGGCTAAAAAAAAGTATTCTGAGTTACGTTATACCTCTAGCTAGATCGAGCTAGATATCGATATATCAAGACGATTGAATTGGGGTGGTTATAATGAGAAGAACTAAAACGTGCCAACGCCTTAAATCGTCGAAAATGAGATCTCGAGAGCATGTGGTCCAAGTCATCCCTTCGTCTGTAGGCGATGCTACCCACCCTAGGAATATTGGTGTTAAGAGCTATATACATAGCTGAGTGTGGTGTTTGTTCACAGATTCTTGTCAATGAGATAATCTCCCACCGAAGTTCCACGCAGCCTATGATATGTAGTACTCATGCCTAATAACTAAATGTACCGTCCAACTACCGCAATCACACAAGCTGCTGTGCACCCCTTTTGAAACAGCAATATTGAAAAGGAAAACTTCCAACACTCATCGATCGTTGTTGCAACGCCTATTGCTCGTGCCTGCCATGACAAGTCATTTGTCAGCTCCTTGATGTCGCCTTACCGGCCTGCTGCAATGTAAACGTAGCCGACAGGTACAATACTAGGTGCTAAACATTTACATAACGATAACGGGGGATGTTTCCGCTCCGTTGGGCGTGCAGTTATATTATACATGCACTAGTGAGGAGCGGCCTCCGGCCGCATATAAAATCAAGCATCGGTTTGAGGAACCACCAATAACTGAAGGATATTTATAAAGGCCCAGAAAACTCTCAACTCTGTTTAATGGTTAAGTTGATCAAAATAAACACCGATTCCTCGCACGCACTCGGGGCCACCCCTCCTTGCTCGCGTACTGAGGCGGTAGTTTTGGAATAGAAGAACTCTTGATGGAGTATGAAGCCAATAATACCGTACCGGTCATAGAGGCTGTCATATATCATGATGCTGCTTATAGTTTGCTGATTTATAGTCGATCATCTACTCACATATCAAGTATGTTTTTGCGCAACCAGCAAAACATATAGAATCTCGAGAGCTTTCCCATCTCCCCTGAGATTATGCATCTTTTATCTAGACACCTGAAAGACTCTACAGGCCACTTTTAGGCCATATCCATAAAGAACGAGGCGAAGGATGTCTTAAAAGTCCTTTTATTTCTTTCCTCTCCACCTTTACCAGTATCTCAATTAGGCCAAGAATTTGAAGCATGAATCTCCATTATCGAAATTATACTATACTTGGTCGTTGTAGTTTTGGTATAACTATGGGACTTTTTATGAGTTGTTGAAAACCTCGATTTTTGGTGTGTTTTGCTGGTTGGGCAAATACATAGTTGACAAGCGAGTAAATGAATGTTTCAAAAACATGCCTACTGTCGTCTCCCTTAATGCACTCAATCCAGGATCCCGGTAGAATAAATCCTTTGTCTATCGACAGCTATAGTCCTCCAGATCACTACTGAGACATTGGGAGGTAGCTAGCCAGCCAATATAAACTTTTCATGATGACAGAGATACCTGACTATTATATTTATCTATATTTAGATCTAGCGGACCAGCACGTTCTAACAAGTTTGACAGCATGGCACGTGGAAGATTCCGAGGGAACCGCGACGCGACGCGGCGTAGCCTTGCCGCTTCACCTCTACAGCTGAAGGAAGACGCGCGGGCACGTACATCGGAACGGAACAGACGCCTTGTTGGATGTGTTCCTAGCTCCTGAGCTTTCATTAGCATAGAAATAGACGGCTGTGGGAGCTAATGAATATTTAGGTAACAACACCCAAGACGAAGTGCAACGGCAAGAAGTTTGAAAACTCAACTGAAACATGTAATCGTCGTGAGCTGGTTGAACAAATAGTTGTATTCTCTGTACACTTTTCTACTATATGTGCAGTTCCCCCCTCGATCGTAAAGCAACCGCATTAACCTATTTGACCATGGCTTGCATTATAATTACTGAGTGTTATGCGCTGAACACTATAGTACGTGGGCGGTATCTACAGGAGCTCAACTGTTCCGCAGCATCAGATTCCTCTTTAAAAGTGAAAACCTTCTTCTTTAAGACGCGCTGAACCGAATTCCAGCGATTGATTTAATAGATATTCTGTGCGCAGGTTTCTTTACGAGGTTTAGATGACCACCAGTAGATACTAGTAATCAACCGGCCGCCTAGTGAAAATACCCAAACATCTTTCTATTCACAAAAGCTCAGCTATTGCCTGCAGCTGGGTAAGGCGACGGTTTGCATATTGTGCACACAAAGTATCACCGTACAGATATATCAATATGGACCAACGTAATCTTTGCAAATTTATTATCTGCAAAGAAATTTCACAAGATTGGAATTATCAATGCCGAGGAATCTTCGCATATAACGCATTATATTTACGCTGTTAATATCATCGACGATCGGCTAAGCGTATATTGATATATGGCCTTCGGAGATGATCTGCAGCTATCACTTTTATCTCGCCGTAAAATCTAAACGGAAGTTAATTAAATTCTAGTTCAGTATTCGCCTACTTATTTTAATTTGCTCTGAATAGCTATTTCCACCAGATACATATAGAAAATAATTTCAAAAGGAAAAAGTAATATATCGGAATATCTCTTGCTCATCAGGACCTAGGCATGAAGATGTTAACTATATCTATAGAACTATAGCATGTAATATGAGCTAGATAACAGACCTTGATTATAACTCCGCGTCCTTTAAGCCATCGGTATCTGCAATGCCACCCACATGTGCATTTCTAGCCCTGCTAGCAACTACAAGAGAAGTTCTCCATGTGATTTTGATATTATCCAGAGTGTAAGGAATTCTTTCTTTGCTTTTGATATTGTCTCCTGGAATCACAAATATTTCAACTTTGTTGACGGCGTCTACTCCCTGAACTTGTGCATCCCATGGATATTGGAGCTGAGCGTCAATGGACCATTTGTACCATCTCACGAGTGGTGGACCACCATTTGCTGGGTAACCCCGAATTGAGAAGAGAATTGGTGACTTCGGAGTAGCGGTGTATGGAAGAATCGAGATTTGATGAAGATCGAATGACTGTGCCGGTGAGTTTAGTCGTGCTTGAAAGTATGGTTCCACCCCACCAGTATGAGATGAATCCTGCACGAAAAGGAGATTTGGAGGTGATGTGGCGCGATTTCGGGGAAAGAGCTTTTGCTCGGATTCGTTGAAGATGTAGTGATTCGGAGACCAGTCCACATTTCCATATCCTTCGGGCCAGAGAAAATTGCCGTCTGTTGTGACTTCGTCGAACTACGTAACAGTAGTTTAGTAAGGTATCACGCACCCCGCTCAATATCACTACCATATTAAGGAAACAGGAAAACTTGAAAAAGCTTTTGCTCTGCGTACCATCATTGTGACACTGAACTCTTCCGATACATTGATATCGTTGTCGGAGATAACAGGTTGTTCATACTTGGATATCACCTGTTCGATGATGTTTTCTTCGACGGACTTCGATCTTGTAACTGCAAGTGCAGGACTGGAGAAAAGAACGAGAGTACCACAAACAACCTTCAAGAGCGTATGCATATTGATGACAGCGTAGTTGGTGAAATTTTCTTCAAGAGCTTAATTCTGAGTTGAGGATTGTTGTTACAGTCTTGGTTAAAGGTGTGTTAATGACAAGACTAGTTAAATAATGAAACAGCTGCCAACACTCATAGTTTAATTCGGGCCATCCAATCAAGCAGGTGTGTGGCGCGTGTGGCTGACTACACAAAGTGCGGCCTTGGTTATTAACCCTTGCAACAGTATGTAGGTACCTAATATGTACCTACATGTACCTACTTCACATTAAAACACAAACTTTTGAGTTTTGAGAATAACACGTACCAAGGTGTCAGTATCCAAAGTATTTACCAGCGCTCTCATTTGACTGCGACCCAACTTGTGGTACTAATGAAGCAAGAAGCTTTCCTAACTAAAAGCGTATCTTCGGGGTGGGGCCGGGGTTTCTTTTGTAAAATTAGGGCCCGTTTGGCTGCAAGTCAGGACGGAGTTACAAGAGGAGGATCTTCAAAACTCCATTTTGGCAAAAAGGTTTGTGTTCGAGCAGCTAATTTTGAAAAGTAGAGGGTACCTACTTTTCAGCTCCGTTTCGCTCTTGCAGTCATTGCAACCAAAAAACCAACGTTATAACAATCAGGTGTTTGGCAACCCAAATAAATCCAAACTCCATTTTGAAAAAGCTCCGTTTATTCTCTCCTAACGGAGTAGCCATAAAACGGAGTTCCGACACCCCCATAATAGCCAAACGGGCCCTTAGGCTACAAATTACTTAGTCCTAGATCTAGTAGGATCATGATATTAGGACTCCTAGTTATATAAGCGTAGCCAGATTTTGTTTGCATTGTGTGGGATTGATTTATAAGAATGATGCTGACTCTAAATCTATTCAATACCTCAAAATTTTGCGACGACGAACAACCCTAACCCTATATCAAGTCCTACCGCAAAACTAGGTAGATGAGTCTAATAATCCTCTAAGTACTGCCTGGGGCCGTATCAAAACTGTAGTATACCATAATAAATTGTCTTGACAAACCCTTTTGCATGAGCTACTCCGCTCCATACCAGAAAAGCCCCCATGACCGGTTAGTCGACCGACAGACAACTAGCGGGTACTATAGGATATATAGACCAGGCCGACCCCCAGAAGCTCGGCCCCTAAGCTTGACCGTTATCCGCTATTATTACCGCTATTTAGAGGGCACGACGGCGGACGCTTGCTGAGTGGCCGTGCTCGCTGCGCTGGCCATGGGGGTCGATCTGGTCCATTCGATATCGTTTATCAACGTCCCTAGCTGTAGCCGGGCCCGGCCGAACAAACGAATATAGGAAAATTAAAATTCGATACAAGCGTATTGATATCCTTGATAGCAGCACACTAGACATGTTCTAGATTATATGCCATTATCGGGATTTAACTATACCCATAGCCCATATATAAGCCGGGTATACGTAGCTCGCGGCAGCGGCGGCGGCGGCGGCGGCGCCCCTTAGGCGCGGGTAGTGCATGGGTGATATGTGATGACCGCAAATCACCACGAAATCATTTTACTCCTGAGCTGAATGTATATAAGACGCCTAAATCCGCGCGCTAGCCATATGAAAGGAATATATTAGCTAGTGCTCAAACTCATATTTTATGCATATGTGGGACCGGTTTCCTTACTTGCGACTAGGGCTTTTCACTCGGTATGAATTCTGGCGGTTCTCCTCAGCTCAAGACCTTGGCTGATGTCGATAAATAGTTTTGAGTCTTACGGGTGTATGTTCGGCCGGTTGTCTAGGAAGAGGGAGATTTTATATCAGCTCTTTAAAGTCTGCGAATTTAGCCTGAATTTGTTGAAGCTGGCCCCGCCTTCGCCTCGGTCTATTACGACCCGCTCGGAATGGCACGCATGCATATTAGTTATCTCGGCATTCCGAGTTATAATTTCGTTGAGGAGTCTCATGTTTTCTCTTCATTATGAATTGGTGAGCTTGATCGTGTATATCTTCGGTGTATTTTTGGCGTTTCCATTTCTGAAGACAATCGTGTATCCACAACAAAACATGGCTCCCTCATTCACAGTTATTGCCACGGCTGGCAAGCCTATTCTCCACCGGGACGACTTTTGGCTCACTGAAGCCCCAGTGCACGACGAAGAGACTGGCCTCACATGGTTCACCGACATCCCTAGGGGTGCTATTTACAGCTTTGACATCAAAGTCGGGCAAGAAAGTTTGAAAAGAATTGAAGTTGGCGAGTATGTTGGATGTCTTGCTTTAATCGAAGGAGTAAGTCTGTCCTGTATTACATTGTGACTGGCCTCTTCTTAATTAAACGTTCCTGGTTGGTAGGACAAGGAGCACCTTGCAGTTGGCGCAAAGAGAGGATTTGGAAAATTGAACATAGAAACCGGGGGGCTGGAATACTACAACATATTGTATCCTGATGACCAGGCGAAGCAAGATTTAATGCGAATTAATGATGGGACTGTTGATGTCAAGGGACGTTACTGGGCAGCCGCTATGAGAAGGTTCGTAGACTTAGAATCAAAAATATCCCCATTGGCTAGCTAACCAAAAATAGTTTCGGGCTTGGAGTTCCTCAAAACGAAGGAGCAGTTTTCTGTTCTGATACAAAGAAGTCCCTACGCACTGTAAAGCATCCAGTTGCTGGACCAAACGGATTCGCATTTTCGCCCGACAACTCAATTATGTATTTTGTCGAAACCCGGCTCCAAACCATCTTTTCATACGATTATGACCCAGAAACTGGATCAGCCACCAACGAGACGGAATTCATCAAATTCGACCCTGAGGTCCATGGCCCAGGAGCACCAGATGGAATTGCTATATCTCAGGATGGTGATTTATGGGTCGCTGTCTTCAACGGTAACAAGGTGATCAGATTCGACTCGAAAACCAAGGATGTGAAGGGAATTATCGAGGTCCCTACAAGCAAACAGGTTGCTTGCCCAGCTTTTATAGGTGAAGGTTTGGTCATAACGACGGGGAAACTGGTACATATGGATCCGGAGGTTGGAAAGGGCCACAGCCCGGATGCAGGCGATGTTTTCTACGTCCCCCTTCCTGGTATTAAGGGAGCGGAGGTATATAAGGTCAGGTTCGACTAGAAGAATCATTATCAACGAGTAATTCAGGCTATCTAGAGCTGCAGGTACACGTCTCAATATGGATCTGGTTAACACACAATGCGAGGTGGTAGTTTTCAATGAGTGACAATGATAGTGACCCACGAGGTTGCTCAAGCAGAGTACCTGCGTTTTAAAAGACTATTTGATCAATTGAGCTACTAGATGAATAGATCTTATGATTAGCATGTCCTCGACAAAAGCTTGATGCAATGCGCTGATAATTATGGCAATGTATGCATATATTCAAGAACTCAAAACATTATGCTTATGTGCGAAGACCGCTAATAATGCCTCCATCTGATATATGTGTACGACGATTAAGTCGAGGTACGGTTCTGATTCAGTTTCAATGCGTCTGCATCATTCCTCTTTTAAAGAAGGCATTGTCCTTACTCAACTCCGATGATTATAGTTGGACATGTAAACTAGATCTAAGATTGAATTCAACGTCCCTGATATATATAGCTGGATGCCAGATTTAGAAACGAAAGGCTTTAGAAAGTCATGTACTGATCGTGGGTTCTTGACGACTAGTGATCCTAAGGTTTATGTTAGCCACTGATCTCAAAATTGATCTTGCACCGCACCAAGCACAGGTGACCTACCCCTTCCGTCGCTTCCATAAATCCAAGGCACGGCCGTTTTCGCCACAATGGGAAGTGGTACTACAGATTCAAGCCTGAAACCATTGCTACCTCCACCCTGGAGATCATTCAGATCACTATCACCCCTCTAGGTTTTGCCGTTAGGCTTCTTGGCTTGTCTTCATTTCTTCCGGAAGTCCATTCCTGCTTAGGCCGATCGGCAGTGGTAAAAGACTTCAAAAAAGCCGTGAGGATCCGGGATGAATTGGGGCTACGTGCATGTCAATAGACGTTTAGCAATGAGCTTTTTATAACCTTCATTTGCACAAACGTATGTAACCGAAATTGTGAACAGCCACATGATCTAATTGATATTATTGTGAAAGAAACGTCACGTACATATATAAGTCTATATTGGGGTAAAAACCATCAAATGTGTATAGACGAGCTGACTACCTTCAAGCTTGTGTCTCTGCTAAAACCTCATTTTCACTATCCTCATTCTTCTTAATCCACCCGTTCATGGCTACCACCAACCTCACCAGATCCCATTCACCTCTTTCGCCCACAAAGTCACATACTACAACACCACAAGTCCCACCCCCGCCATGATCTATCGCCAGATGGCGCTTCACCTCGACATTGACCTTTCTCGCCACATTCTCTGGCCAGCACCCCACCTTCCAAAAGTTACATCCTGACAAGAAGTTTAGAAACAGCTGATTCCCATCTGTCGGCACCGCGGCACGGTCAAGGTGCTCCCTAATATATCCAATCTTCTTCTCGATGGTCGGGGTATCCAAAACCTCACAGAAGTCCTGAACCCTGCATATCCCGCCCGGTGTTGAAGTATTGTAGGAATTGTATTCCCAGTCCTCTGCATTAATGCCTGCTTCCCAAGTGGCAGATAAGAACCGTCGGAACAGGATGCACTTCCCACGCGCTTCCCCCAGGGTCGGGACTCGAGTATGGTCCAACCACCACCGGTGCGCCTGGGGTTCGATATACCGCTCCCTGAGATGGCGCGCAAACACTTCATCAGTCGCACTACCCCACCCCTCGCGCTTGAGTGATATGATCACGGTCTCCCCCGGATGCTGATCCAGGAATTGATATGTCCTCTCCAGGAGCGTGCTTAACTTTTTTGCGGGTAGTGACAGCGATATAGGGAATGCAGCATGAACCAGAGTAAGCTCCCCAGAGCTTTCGACTTGACAGCGAATGTCGAAGAAGCGGATTCCATGCTCAAGCTGTGTGCGGATACTGACAGCCTGGCAGCGGACAGAGGGGAGTGCACGGTAGCAGGTGGGGGAATTATGGGTTCCGGGGATTGAAAGAGAGCAGAGAGAGACACTATCATGGAGTTGTGTCTGCCATTTATGCAGGGCAGCAGTGGAGAGGAGAGCTACATGCGCGTGGGAACCATGGAAAACACTGTGGAAGCGGTGGGAGGAGGAAGGGGTTAGACAGATCACAGATGGGCTCGAGCTGCTGTCTAGGTCTATTCTAAACTTTCCGCCATCAAGAACCTCGAAAACAAGCCTCACAACGTCTCCAGCTCCATGCGTAACTCTGATGTCAGTTTTGACAGTCGCAAACGGCAGAACAACAAGCTTCGCAGCACTCTCTGTGAATGCCTTTGCATTCTCTGCAATAACAATGCTTGTAGGACCTGGAGCAGGTGCAACACCACTTGTCCTCAAAGCACTTGAAAGATGGTGTGTCAAGTTCCCGATATTATGGAGATTCTTGATCGTTATTGGGGAGGGCCCTGTATGCTTGGATGCGAATGGGAAGGTCGCGAAAGACGTGACCGTTAGAGGTGTGGACGAGAGATTTCGGAGCGTGAGGAATTCTGCCCGGGGTGCCATGGAGAATTAGAGTAACTCGTACGTACCCGGAATATCATAGAGGGAGCAGCAGCTCAGAGCAGATGAGGGGATAAGCATTGACATGTCTATTGATATATGGTGTCGATCTTAATTGGCTTGTCTGGTGAATCCCTGAAATGAGGCTCTCACGCATGCTCCACAGTTAATACGACTTGGCAATGTTTAAGTAATCCTATCAACCCAATTTCTAGATTAGCGTAACTTTAAATTACCTTGACCAGTGAGAGCACGGCTTTCCTGTTTAGTTCAATTATTTAGGCCCGTTTGGTTGCAATCTATGGATCGTTGAAAAAATAATTTGAATTATTGCCATTCCATGCATGGCCAGGGTTAATGCAACCAAAACTAGCAGTGTTTTGTTAGGCCTATATCTACTTTTTCCCTCTATTTCACCTCCATCCTTTTGCTACAATTCCAGCTCGGTCAAATACTGCCATTCCTTTATCAATAGAAACGAGTTCGAGCACAAATAGGTCTTCAATGCGGCTATAGGTACATGATCGAAAAACTTGATAAATAGAAAATACAATTGTCAAGTACATAACTTATAGCACATGCAACTTCTGATGAGTGCATTTAATAAAAACTGCTGCCTAGGGTACCCGAACGGAATCCCTCAATACCTATACCCGCTGTGTTGATCATGTCGGCGTCGTTCATCGCCTGAGTCTTCATCCCTGTGCTTTTTGTCCTTCTTATCTTTTTTATCCCTGGAATCGCTAATGGGTTAGAAATGCACACTGTGTGACGAAGGGAGATGGCAAGGAGGAACGTAAAGAGATTAAGGGTATGATGACGATGCAAGGGGAGGTGAGAAGTACTTCTTATCTTTGTCCTTATGGTCCTTTTCTTTATACTTATCCTTATCCTTATCCTTGTCTTTCTTGTCCTTCTTATCCTTTTTCTCACCACTTTCTCACCCAGCGACGTCGTTAGCAATCAATATACCCCAAGCTTTTCCTAGACGGAAAATAAAAAGATAGAGTCACGTGTTTTCATACTGATCATCGTATTTATCCTTCTTCTTTTTCTCGTCTTTGTCCTTATCTTTTGATTTTCCATCCTTTGATTTCTTTTGATTTGCGTCGTTGTAACCCTGGTTTGCAGCATCCAAGAACCCCCCTAACGCCCCACCTATTGCCCCCGGCAGCTTTATGCCAGCAACACTTACACCACCACCAGAGGTACTAGAGACACCCGGAATCTTTGCGAAAGGGTCATTCTTCTTACCCTTTCCATCCTTCTTCGACTTCTTTGCTTTATCCCACTCCCCACCTTTAGTTTTTCCATGACCTCCTCCATGGCCACCACAAAATACTCCCCCTGTGTGGTTTCTGCCCTGTTTGACGCCTTCGGACGAAAGAACGTCGCTGAGGCTAGCGCCATGATCAGGGAGACGGTCAACCCATCTCTGTACAGCAGAGAACATAATTCCTTGGATTTCAAAATCCTGACCAACACGTCGAAGAGCAGGATGGTGAAAGATACTAAGAATTTGCGGAATAACGACCTCCAAGGGGGCATCGGGTCTCTCCCATGCGTATACAATACGTGGGACAGTATAACTAACAATTGCAGAAGCAATTTCACCGGCGGGAGCGTTGAGTATATTGGAGAAATGGTCCTTGGAAAGGAGCGAGTGAGTTGGATCTGTGCAATTTGCGTCGTCCCATGGCGCATATTGCTGTTGGGCAGAAGAATCAACGACCTGAGAAGAACCTGCCTTGAGTTCTAATGAGACCTGTGCAATGATAGGCTGAACGTATGGAGCAAGGAGGCCAAGAACAAAAAGTGCGAGGGTGTCCGAGATCTTCTCAACTAGAGCAGAGAGGCCAGGAATCTTTTCAATCGTGGATTCAATCGCACGCATGACCTTATCACGGAACTCAAGAATTGGGTAAATATCCCTAGCAGTCTTTACTGGATCAAATGAACCAGGGGCAGCTGGGCCAGGACCCCGAGTTCCCTGTGGTGAAATATGCATATTTGCCATTTCTTTTGCGTTGGAGTCGGCCTCAAGTCTATCCGCATCACTCGAAAATCCGCTCATGTTTGGGACTTGGGTGAGGAGCTCCTGGAGCATTGATTTTTGGCCTGACTTTTTTGATTTCTTCTGTTGCTCGTGGGCATCTCCAAGGATCGCGTTCAGTTCCGACAGTTCGTCGGGATCAACCTCGGTTTGGGAAAACTTATCTTGCGCCTCACCAAGTACCGAGTGCAGGAAGTCAACAGCACCAAAGGTACCAGTGACTAGGGGGAAGTGTACCGGCATCCCTCTAGTATCTGCTCCTGGTGGTGCACCGATAGCTATTGCGGTATGAACACCGGTGTGTGGAAATACCGCAAGAAAACCAAGTTCTCGCAATGCAAGCTCAACATAGTTGCTATGTGCAGAAAAATCCTCAAGACAATGCAAGGCCTGTCCAAGGCACCGGAGAGCTTCGCAAAGGTCGGCTTCGTTGCCCGCTACGCCATGCCCACCAGATGTATACAAGCGACCGAAGTGGATAGAGCGAGCTAAGGATTCCCGGACATAAGCCACCGAGGTGGCCCATCCACCGGATTCGTTGGCTATATAATTCTTCATACCGGTCCATGGGTCAATACCCAATTCGATAGGTAGCACTTGGGGACGAAGACGTGGATCGTAAACGCGGGCATCCATGCCATCGGCATAGCCTTTTGGGTTGTCTATACAAGTTAGCATCTCAGCTACTCAATGTCAATGGAAGAACTGCACCAACCAATGTGCTCCTCGGGTCTATAAACGCCCAATCTATCCTCCGTAACCTCGAACTCCCCCGTAGCATATCCAAAGCTCAAAAAGCTCAAAACCCAAACCAGAACCCTTATCGTATCTTTATTAACACTCTTCAGAGTGCCCACATCCAGCGCTTGCGAATAATCACGTAACCAGTTTCCGAAATACACACGTCTAATGTTCATAGTAGTCCATTTCCCTCCTTGAAGAGCTAATAATGTCTTCAACGTATCCTCAATATCTCCGTGACGCCAGTTATGTCCTTCGATTTTGGAAATGGATGCGATATTTCCCGCGCCGAACGCTGCTGCTGGAGAAGCAAATACCAAGAAGAGTAAGAGCGATAAGACCACAAGATTTATATTGTGAGTCGCCATGATTGCAATGAGTTATCTTGTTCGGATTAATCTCGTGTAGTTGTTCGAGATGAGTTGGGAGAAGTGGAGCCTTCGATTTTATTTGCCCCCGCCTTATGAAAACTCGCCTTTGGCGTTGGTTGCTATGCAGCGTTTCCCCTCCCGTGGTTACTTCCCCTCTTCATAAGAATCATACGCATTATTTACAAGGATTAATGCGCGGAGCTGGACCCCCTGTGTGTACTTCAAATACATCAAGCTGCTGAGACTACCTTTATCGGCTGCACTTAACTTCTCTTACGAAGCCAGCGCCTTATTGATAGGTGGGCCAAGACCTCATGCGCAAATAATCACTACATAGGGAAACTGGCCCATCTCAGCTCGCCCATCTTCACCGCTCGACTAATCGCAGCGGTGAACTGGGACCTCTAGAGTAAATTAATACCTAGACTTCTTTACGGGGGTGTGGTCAATTTCAAGATTTTGAATAGAAACCAAAAGAGGGATTCGATCGGCACCCTGCGTATCATATATCACTCCGGCGTATATTTGAGATTGACCATACCCCAGTGAAGGAGTCCACATGGCTGCTCCTGAAACCTGATTTTGGACTGTCTATCGATCTCCGCACTACCGCAAAAGTTGGAGTGTTGCACCCGGGTGTTAAATAAGATCCTGGTAAGTTTCTCTCACCAAAAACTGAAGGATTCGCCACAGTTCGAGCAAAAATTGGTACCATTTATATACCAGGACCTTTCTAACACCCGGGCTTTACGCTCCAAATCTTGCGGTGTGGACCTGGGTTGGGTTTCACATATGGCTGGCTTGAAGACTACTTTATATCAGAATATCCACCTCGAGAACCAAACATGAACTATGTTCATAAAAGACCCCGTTTCATGAGTCTGGTCTGGGACGGTGGTCGATCAACTGGGCATGAAGTGCTGGGCATTTCAGATCACGACTTTACCTACATTTATACATACACCTCTAGACGCATGTTAATCTCATAGGCACAGTTCCAACAAAAGGCAAGGAAAAATACATATGCCAAAGGTTTGAATGCCGCCCTCCGCCGGATGCAATCTGGTGAGGGAAGCGTCTTGGCGCCAAGGGAGATATCCCACAAACCAGATTGTTTTTGCCCTTACCGGGGCCTTAATATAATGGGTGTGTTGTCATGTCATGGGGGTGCATGAGGTACAAACCCAATGTCTTGGCGCATGTTTGGACTTACACTAAAATCAGCACAGCTCATGTTTTCTTAAGCCCCGTAATTATTGCATATAAGTTGTTGTTGGTTCGGAAGGTGCCTTCCTATCATTGACATCCAAGATCGGGTATTTCACTTCCGTATCAATGTTTCAAGCTCGAGTGATCAGTCATGATTGACTATTTTGTGACCATTTCATGGTGGTTTATCTAGATCTATAGATGTAGACTGTAAGGCTACGATAGATTAAGCCGCCAACGTTGCTAGTTGTATTCTGTGATTTGAATATATAAATAAGTTCATTGACTAAATTATCAAGTCTTGTTAATTAAGTTACGTCGGACATGAGCTTTTGTATTTCATACGTAGTACACATATTATATACATACTAGCAGTACAAATTAAATCGACTCGTGATCGAGCCTCGCGAATTTCCTCAGGCTCATAGGTCCCGCCAATCTCAACTTCACTTGGTGTGTACAAATATGGCTGTGTATTCGTCTAAATTGCTCTCGGTTGACCATGATTACCGGCATTCATCATTAACCTCATGTATATACCAAGACAGTTTTCACCCAATTATTCGCTCCGGATCCGTAAAAATTCTGCATGTAAGGTCGGACGATAACTCTAAACGGAGTGAAACTTGAGTATTTTGAACTTGCCACGTGTCCGAATTCGAACATGCACTTCACTCAAGTTTTGGCATATATATACTAGGTAAATCTCGTTATCTAAAGTTAACAGCTATCCCAACTAATTAATTAGCTATTCCTGGTGGAATCGATCGAATCTCCCCTTCGAAGTTAGCTACATGTATGGATGAGAATCACACAGTACACCTATTAAGTCTCTATCCAAAGACAGCCATGTTGAGGCGTCTGGGCTGTCGGTCGCTTATGCCAACGGGTACGTCTTGGGCTCAGTCAAAACCTATCTCAATATGCAGTGTCATGATCTACTCAGCCATGCTCGAGCACAGCATAATGTAATGTTACGTCTCAGTGATTAGTTGTTTTAAGGTTTCACATCACGGGTAAACACATCAAATGTATGTTATTACTTCTTCTTTGGCGTTGGGGATGTGTTCACGATTTACTCATGACTCAAGTCCTAATTGTATACCGTCATACAGGCAAATGTGTGTAGTCAAGTACTGATAGATAACTAAACTCCGGATCCTTTCCCCTAACATCTCATTAGGTAAATAAAACCTGATAAACCTTCAGGCTACGGGCGTTTTTCGCCTTACCTAAGTCTCAAGAAACTCAGCATTGATATGTATCTGAAATCAATTGCCTAGCCTGCCATAAATTACATGTATAAACCCCACAAACAAGATGGACCCCATGAAGTCTGAGGATGAGGCTACTTAATTCATATGATATATGTAATATGATACCATGCGCCATGATGGTGAATATACATGTACTTACGTATTTTGAGAAATTAAGTCGATATGAAATTAATTGTAGGCTACACTTATCCCATATGCTCCGCATTAGATCTGATCATATATGTAGCTTTTTATTTAGGTAGCCCCTGCATCTAATTCAACGTGAATACCTCTCATCGATTTCATTTCCGACCTTATATTGATCATTAATAACACTTAAGATTATACTTGTGCAACGAGCCGGAGAGAGCTAGAGGAGGTATTGTTATAATATAGGCATTTCGATTAACTCTTGTCATTTGTTAACCAATTCATGGACTAGATCTCGAGAGAAAGCTAGATGATCCAATTGAAGGGTAGCCGGTGGACGGTGAAAAGTGACTAGCCATTAATTGAGTTCGAGTGAGACGAGCTCAGTACTTGGATACACATATGCTACACGTATAGTCGTACGGTAGTATACAATTGTACAAGTATGTAGAACTCTAGGTCCTACAGGAAAGCTCGTGTAGAATCCCAAAGCGGTTCAATTGAAAAATGATTCCGGGATCTGAAACAGAATTGTCTTCAAATCTATGGCTATATATAGCTATAATAGATCTCCCATACAAATTTAATCCCTCTATTATAGGGGGTCAGCTTTAACGGACCATGGGATAGGACCAGCGCTGATCTTGATCCATGCAGGATGTCTCTTAAGAGATAACGATAGTGATACATGTACCTACATTACCGTCTATAATTACCAAATGCTTTGCCAAAACTACATGACTATGTGCGAACTCTAGAGTACGGATATATCTGGTCATTAGAAGGTATCCCTTGGGCGCGTGAGACATTTGCGAAATCTCTCTCATGCATTAGCGTGATCTATTCAGGAAGTGATTGAGTGGAATAAGGCGGCGACATGCGAAGTTTTTGGCATACGGGCGTACTACAAGTACTGGAAAACGCAGCAAATAGCTTACCCTGACGTTTCCTCACCCAAATTTCGAGGTCACATGATATTCATGTATGAGAGAGATTTCGCAAATGCCTCACAATGACCTAATTCAGGCACTTATAGGGGACGTTCGTAATCTTTATTACATGTAGTTTTCCCCTAAATACATGTATATATATGCGCACATGCGTACGCGCGTATAATTAATGCTAAACTTGTAATAGTAGCTACATGTATATGAGTACATATATGAAGGGAATGGACGATAAGCTTGAGGCAACAGATTACTTATAAAGTGCTTGCCTGCCACTGTTCCGGGAGCTCTCTTGGAACCTCTCAAACTGCCCAAACCTTCATCATATATCAATATCGGCATCCTTAAACTTTTCAGGCATGGCAGATATCCAGGCCTTTAATCACCCTAGTACTAGTGATAACATCGAGAAAGGAAATCCTAAAGGAACTGGAACTATCCACAACTCAGTAATCGATAGCAAAGAGACCAGTCATACCAACGCTGTGTTCGAGGATGTTGAAGCACATATCCGGTACAAAGATTTCAAAACAAAGCAGGTACGTGAGTGGTGTCGTAATTACCCAGGGCAAAACAAAGAGAACACACAGTTGCTTTTCACATACTAAAACCTAGGACAACAGGAGTTTAGTGGCGCTATTCTAGCATGGTAAGGGGACCTGATCAGATAAATAAGCTTTCGACGTTACTAAAATAGCGTTTAGGCTCACCTATCAATCAATCGGCGTTATCTATGGGGATATTGGCACCAGCCCACTTTACGTGTTTTCGTCAACATTTACATCGTCACCATCCAATGAAGATCTTATAGGTGCCTTGTCGCTTATCATATGGGCCCTTACTCTCGTCGTCACCCTGAAATATGTTACAATCGTCCTTTTCGCTGATGATGACGGCGAAGGAGGAACATTCGCGCTTTATTCTCTGCTCACCCGCTATGTATGCTAAACCATCGATTCTGCTTTAATTATGTACATGTACGTATTCGTATATGCACTAACCAACAATGTTTGACTTAGTGCGATATTATGCAACGTAGTCCCCGCGAGCCTTTGACAGTGAAACTAGAACGACAGCTCACCCAAGAGATGAAAGGACCAAACGCTCAATTTCGCTCGGTTTTAGAGAATAACTTTCTATTTCGGACTTTCATCAAATTCTTAGCAGTATTTGGTGTTTGTTTGGTTATTGCAGATGGGATCCTTACTCCCGCACAATCAGTTCTTGGAGCGATTCAGGGCCTCAAGGTCAAGGTACCTGATATCGAAACAAATACCATCGTTGGTATCTCATGCGCCATACTGATTGTACTTTTTCTCATCCAACCACTGGGTATTACAAAACTTGGAACAACATTTGCACCAATCGTTGTTATGTGGCTGCTTTTCAACATGGTCTTTGGGATTTATGTGAGTGGTGATTATAATTATACGTACACCTTTGTTAGATCAAGGGATTGAGAATAACCAACTGACAGCCGGGTGATTGTTATCGCAGAACCTCGTCAAATTCGATGCCTCAGTTTTGAGAGCTTTCAACCCTGCGAACTGTTTCTATTATTTTAACAAGAACGGAGAAGAAGGTTGGAAAAGTCTTGGTGCCATATTACTTTGCTTCACTGGTGTAGAAGCCCTCTTTGCAGATCTAGGTGCCTTTTCAGCAAGGTTTGGGCCCCCAGAAGATAATTTAAGCAACTGGGTTCCTTTTCTTTTTAAGCAGTTAAACTTACATTTTACAGAGCTATTCGGTTATCATGGCTCTTCTTCACATATCCATGCCTACTTCTTGCCTATACCGGTCAAGCTGCTTATATCAGCGTGAAGCCTGAAGCAGTTTCCAATCCATTCTTTAATACAATCCCTCCTGGGATGTATTATCCTAGTCTAATCCTCTCTATACTAGCAGCAATAGTGGCATCTCAAGCTATGATAACCGGCTCGTTTCAACTTATATCTCAATGCATGAGTTTATCGTATTTCCCAAAGATAAAGGTCTTGCATACCAGCACCAGATTTCATGGACAGATTTACGTACCGTTGGCGAACTGGCTAATGATGATTGGGACCGTCATTGTGACAGCTGTTTATAATAATGTAGGTTTCTAATCACCGCATATAGATATGATTATACGATCGTCTGTGGTTGCTGATAAATATACTAGACTACAAGCTTAGGGAATGCATATGGTGTCTGTGTGATTATGGTCACCTTTATCACCACCTGTATGGTATCCATAGTTGCTCTTGTTGTATGGCAGCTTCACTTCCTCTTCGTTTTAGCTGGCTTTATATTTTTCGGCGCTATAGACGGGGCGTTTCTGTCGGCTGCTCTCACAAAGGTACCACAAGGGGCGTGGTTTACTCTTCTGCTTGCCTTGCTTCTCTCATGTGTCCTGTTCCTATGGCGCTTTGGAAAGAAAGAACAATGGAAAACTGAAGTCGACGACAACATTGCGCCTTCTTCGCTTGTCGTCTGCGACGAGCGCGGGCGATTAATGTTACAACGATCAGATGGTCAAAAAGAGATGGGTAGGATTAAGGGGGTTGGTATTTTTTTCGACAAAATTGGTTACCATGCCCCGGCGGTATATACGCACTTTGTCCGGAAGTTTGAAGCCCAACATGAGGTTATTGTATTCTTCCATCTTCGCCAACTTATCCAACCAACGGTCAGTTAATTATAAATTGACCCCAGTTGTATTTATTCAAGTTAGACTAATCACTTGAATTTTAGGTTCGCGAAGAAGAGCGTTACATAGTTCAGCGCGTTGGCTCTTCAAATACCTTCCGTATCATTGTTCGTCATGGCTACAATGATCACGTCTTCACCGAGAACTTCGGTGTTATTCTCTACGACAAGTTGAAAGCTTTTCTCGATGCCGAAATTGAGAACAGTGGATCTGAGCTTTCCCTAAGTAACGCTCATGCGAGAGTCAATGCTAGAGCACTGCGGGAGCGGGACGCTTTGGATGCGGCGTATGAGAAGCAGGTCATTTATATTTTGGGAAAAGAGCAATTACGGCTAAGTCCAAAGTCTATTCTTCCGAGAAGATTTGCCTTGAGTACCTTTATTTGGATGAGGGAGAATACAAGAACAAAGCAACAGGAATTCAATGTCCCAATAGATCAGCTGGTTGAAGTTGGATATATCAAGGAAATTTAGAGTAACAAGCAGGGAACATATATCATGTAATTTGAATATGACCATTTCCATCAATGCAGATTTTGATATACGTATAGCTAGATAATGAAAAGGATTTGTTTGACCCGAGCATAGGCTTTCGTTCTTTTTTTAATATGTGGCCTCCGGAGTACAATCCAGGGAGATATGCGAATAATAATAATCAAGGATACATATGTAACTTATGTATTCTACTTTTTTAGGGTTTTAAGTGTGACCTCTACTCAGGCGTTCAGTAAAAGGTCGTGAAAAGTCGTCCCGTTGCAACGCTTATTTTCACGACCTTTTACTGAACACCTTAGTAGTTTTATGCAAAAGCACGCCTACGACAGCTTGTTTTCCATACGATTATAAGTTGAAGGCCGTTATGAAAGGGCTTTCAAAGTGACCCTATAGACATGCATATGAGTATTTACTAGATACATGTACAGCCACTCAGCAAAAGTGTTCGTGATTTAGTTTTAATGTCAGTGCGCAGTGTGGCGCACCCGTGACGTTGATGTTATTAATGGAGAGATTCAAGCTAAAGAAAAATATGTAATGTAGTTTGCGACTACATATAAAAGAAGATATGTTATTGATCTTATTCTTCATTGATTCCGGGCTCCATTGGTCACTGGGAAAGTTTTCTCTTGGGGGTTCTTGATGGTCCGCCACGGTTACATATAGAGAAATGTCTCACTCTGAAATCGGAATCACGAACACTTTTGCAGAGTGGCTGTACATAATATACTGTGTTGGTTACACATACTAAATCGGGAATGTCTTCATAATTAATTACATGTACGCAGGTCTATATCTTTGGGTATTCTATACTGCAATAGCCTCTCCTTTTCTCTGCTCTTGTTCTTCCCACCCTCTGCACTCCTTTTCTGGCCCTTCATCATTTCTTATACTGTTGCTTTCATCTTCACTTTCCTCCTCCTCACTCTTATCTTCTTCACTTTCTTCACTAGCCCCACATTGATCTTGCTCCTGATCACGCTTCTTCTGCCTCTCTCTCTCCCAATATCTTTCCTCGTTCTCTCTCATCCTCCTTACCCGGAGCTCCTCTTGTTTTCTCTCTACCTCCAGTTGCCATTGAAACTTAGGAAAAGGATGAGCATCACGCATTATAGCCATAAATCTGTGTGCCGCTTGATGATTTTTTGAAAGACCCTCGTCCAAAACTGCATCTTCGTATTCCAGGCGTAGGGATTCGTTGGCACCACTTTTGAGAAGCATTTGTATTATTGGCACCGCGGATTCCGAGTGATTCCGGCTGGCGCTGTGTAAAATCGACTGGGGGTGTCTTTCCTCCGGCACTCCAGGGGTCGTCGAAAAAATATCGGCACCTCTATCGAGGAGTAACTTAAAAACATCAGGTCGATTCCCCGATGCTGCACAATGGTGTAAAGAAGTGTAGCCCCACTGATCCTTCGCGTCAATCTGCGCCCCCTCGTCAAGCAGAAGTTCAATGACCTCATTTTTGCCTGCTCTTGCAGCATAGTGTAGTGGTGTTGCCCCTTGATGTGACCTAGCCTCGATATCGGCACCCCGAGACAGTAACAATTTGACTGTGGGTGCGTCCCCCGCGATAGATACTGCCCCGTGTAGTGGTGTTTCCCCATGGCTGGTCGATACTGGGTTGACATCGGCACCTAGATCGAGGAAAAGCTCTACAAGTCGCTTATTTCCCATTTTCGTAGCGAGATGTAATGGTGTTACTCCGCCATCGGCCTCCGCAGAGATGCTTGAACCATTTTCGAGAAGGAGGCGAATAAGCTCTTCGTTTCTAGTCGATGTTGCGATGTGGAGTGCTAAAAATCCGTCCTTGCCTCGCGCTGAGATATCGGCACCGTTCTCAAGTAGCAGTTTGACAACCTCTCTGTGTCCGTTTAAAACAGCAACATGCAAAGGATTTTCTCCGTTATACAGCGCTGCTTCAACATCTGCACCGTTCTCAAGAAGGAGTTTGACCACTTCCTTGTGGCCACCGGCAGCGGCAATGTATAGCGGCCTCTCCCACTTAAAGTCTTCAGCTTCAATATCTACCCCGTTATCTAGGATAGTCTGTACTACTATCTTATGTCCCATCCAACATGCTATATGTAGTGCTTTCTGTACAGGAAATGGTTTGTCAGATCCTAGACTGGCCCCTCCGTTATAATCATATGCCTGGATATAAGAGCTTATGTGACCTGGGTTTTCGAATAGTTTGAGAAGTAACTCCGCCGTCTGATCTTCTTGGCATAAGCTGATATGGAAGGGTAGGTATCTCCCAGCGTAAGCAAGGAAGGGATACCGACGAACTCGATCTGAGATGCCATATAACCCTTGCTCAGGTTCGGAAAAGACGTCGAATGACAAGTAAGTAGCGCAAGCCGTCGCTATATCGAGTTTCTCGCCGTCTCCGACCAGCGAAATCCCGATTAAGTATTCCTGGACCGTGTAGTGTACAAATCTTATTACGTTGCTTTTCTCGTCAATCGTAATAAGGCCCGCACAAACATCAAGCATAATTGCGTTATCTGTCCAATCCCACTCATCGAGCTCATAGCGATTGTTTTCCACGGCAATCGCTTCTCGCAGTTCATCAGCCGATAGCGTTCGGCGAGCCTCCACCAACCAAGACAGAATCTTCATTGCTATCGTGGTTGATCCTTTGGCTTGGTTTTTGATGATCGTCATGGCTCTATCATATGTGGGATTTAGAGGTCTTTCCTCGTTTGAAGAATCTCTAAGGCTTTGTAGTGCCCGAAGCATGAGTCGAACATTGGTCATCCCACAGATGAACTCGGTATGGAAATGGAGCAGCAAAAACCTATAAAATTTAGTCCTAGAACAGACCTATCTATTATGCACAAGATAGAATGGGATTATCACATTAATTAGAACAGACGGCCGGTCACACAAGACGTTGAAATTGCCATATTTGATGAATACGCTGCCTCTGTCAACACAAAAACAGCTTTGACGTCTTGCTTAACCCGCCATCTGTTCGAATTAATGTGTATTCGCATGAGAAATATCGGAGTTGTCATTACAGCTTACATTCCCTGCGCAGATTGAATAAGTTCATTTATGATCAAATCTTTACACTTCCCTTGCTTTACTAGGCGCCTCGCCCGAACATTCTCTTCGATCCTTTGCTCAATGAAGAGTCTCATATCCTCTATGCTTGGTGACAGCTCGATACTTGCTGATGCGCTCATAGAATCTCGTATGTCCTCCGGATGTTGTCGGCTAGTAACGAATATATGAGTTCCACTCTGTGCAAGCCGATGGAACAGCGGTAAAAGGGCTTTTCTCTGTCTTTTTTGATCGCATTCATCCAAGGCGTCGAAGATTAGAAATACTTGATCAAATTCCGTGAACGAGATCTTAAGAATAGAGTAAAGCTCATCTAAAGAAGGTCTCTTTCCATGAGGTTCCAAGCGTTTGTAGAGCTCGTCGACGGGCGGAGGTAGGGGAATTAGTTGGAACAAGAGTTGCTTCACTAAGCTCGCGAGAATTTGATATGGTCCCTGTTGCTCCTGCTCTCTATAATCGAAGTAGACATAGGCTAAACCGTAGTTTGCTGTTATTTTTCGTTCTTGGAAATGATCAATCACCACCGAGCTAGATAGAAGTGCCAAGTTAGCCCTATACGCAAGATACCTCTTCAGAAGTAACATACCATAAAAACGTTTTCCCAGCTCCAGCTGTTAATTTGACAAGCCAATCGTTAACCCAAGGCTCTTTAACTTACCCATCGGTCAGAAACGAGTAAAAGCTTGATACATACGTATACCGTAGCCCCATAGAATAGGCGAGTTGGGGTTCTTCTGAGCCCACTCTTGAAATTCGGGTCTTCTGAAAAACCACTCGCCAGTCCCCGGCTGCCTCATCGCAATGATATCGGCGTGCTTTATATCAAAACTCTCCTTGTAGAACCAGTTAATTATAGACTTCCGCCTCTCTGCTAGAACGCTCTCAAAAGATCAGATATCCATTAACACAATTGGTTATTGGTAAATGATCTTACATTCTGCATAGGTTATCTGGCTTTGCCTCCACAACCTTTGAGCAACGGCCTCTGACTGTAGACTTTGGATTACAACATTCGTTTCGCGAACTAGTTCGCCGGTATCTTTTGACTGCAATTTGAGACCGTAAATTGCCAAAGCTGTATCCCGGATATCAGATTTCATTTCCTCTATTGTGCTTCCCATTTCTTTTGTGTATGTCTCGATCTCTTTCGACAAAGTCCTATATTCTATTAGTATAGCTTAATTAGGGGGTATTTGACATGGTATACTTACATATGATCCGCCGACAAGGCTATATTGAAAATAGTTGTATGTCTGCCTATCATAATGATACATTTCTCCGTCTCTTTCTCCTTTAATGGCCATTTCATTCGATTGATCATTTTAGATCCATCCTTGGAATCTAACTTTATATACAACTCTTTGAGTACTCCATCGATTCTTTCGATAGGACCACTTGATTTATTGAGTTGGCGGAGCGCTTCCGATTGTGGATTCTCATCGGCAACCTTTTGTAGGGATTCCAGAACGGTTTTCAGACTGGATAACTCGTCCAGGAATTCGCGAATATCTCGTCGTGCGGTTTTAACTGAGCTTATATAATTATAAGAAACTTGAAAGGTTTTTCCTGCGAGTTGGGCAATGCCAATTATACTGGCGGTAAGGCCTATTGCTTCAGCCATAGCTCAGGGGATCTTGCTGTTAGTCAGAATATCAAATTGGTGAGTTTTCTAATAGCCGTAGGGAATAGTCCAGCGTTTTAGATCGGTGGAACGAAAAAGTAGGTAGGAAGCTACAATAGAAGCAACATTAGAGTATATAAACTCCCTGGATGCTTACAGCTCAGCCTACTTCAGGCGGACAACGATGGATTACAGGGACCTGGTTGACTCGTGTCTCCATGCATGCAGCCGGCCGAGTTGGAACAGCAATCAAGCTTTAAGTACCTAGGGACCTATGGCGCTGTATCAGGCCTAATCATAGTCTGAAAGGCCGGCTTTATGTGGAGAAAGAAAAATTGCTGATCATGAGCTTGAGCCATGAGTCACGGCTACCCTATGAAATCTGTCTTGGGCTTGTCAATCATGCACATGCATAGAGCAGGATGCATGGCAGCACGGGAGCCAACAGCGCGCTTTGCAGAGGCGCCCGGCAAAAGAAATGTAGAGGAGTTTATGCACACAATTACTAAGTAAGCGTATGTGGGGTTTCTGATTGACAATTAGCGCCGGATATAGCTATTGGCGGACGACTAGTAATAGAAAACTTACGAATGTTGTTATTGAAACCTGACGATGATCGAAACAGCAAAAGTATTATACAAGTAAGTTGCTACCATAACAGAGAGCGGAGTTTTTGCGCTAACTGTCGAAACCTAAGGAAAGAGGAAAGCTATGTGTAATGAAGGAGTCTTTTTACTACAGTGTAGATGTAACTCTAAATCTACCCGATCCACTACAGTACTGGCACAATTACTTTTCATAATCTCCGAATGAGACCGGGACCTTTGAGTGCTTCTTCTTCTCCTTCTTTTCAAACTTTGCCTCCTCTCTCTCTTGTCTGTCCTGATCTTCGGCAGCTTCTACTGCTAGTCCTCGTGCCTGTCTCGCTTGTGTCTCTGCTACCTTTCCGTAAATTCCCATTGCACCGGCAATCATTCCGCCGATATCACCAAGCTGAGCCGGGATAACGATAGTGTTGCTCTCTTTCGCAAGCTTTCCAAATGCTTCAACGTACTTATCCGCCACCGTCAGGCTGACCGCATTCTGTGCAGAATCTCCATTTGCACGGATTGTTTGAGCAACAGCCTCGAGACCTCTAGCAGTTGCCTCGGCCTTGACAAGGATGGCCTGCGCTTCTCCGGCAGCCCAGTTGATCTGCTCTGCCTTTTTCGCTTCAGAGGCTAAGATGACAGACTGCTTTTTACCCTCTGCAATATTGATCGCACTCTGCCTTTGACCTTCAGATTCGAGAATCTCCGCACGTTTCGAGCGCTCAGCGGAGACCTGGCGGTTCATTGCTTCTAAGACTTGATCGGGGGCGTGAATATCCCTAATTTCGTAACGGAGGCATTTTACACCCCAGTCAGCGGCAGGTTCATTGAGGGCCTGGGTAATGTTGATGTTCAGTGCCGCTCGTTCTTTAAGGACTTGGTCAAGCGTCAGTTGTCCGATTTCAGAACGCATAGTGGTTTGTGCCAATTGAGAGATTGCATATTCAGCATCCTCGACTCCATAACTAGCCTTGTAGGCATCAAACACCCGGATATAAAGGACGCCCTAGGCAAAGTTAGCCCTCTCGAAAATGAGCTGTAAAGAGACAGTGTGCTCACATCTAGATCTAAAGTAACATTATCGGCGGTAATTGCGCTCTGGCTGGGGATTTCAATAGCGACTTCCTTCAAGGACTTGACGTATTGGATTTTGTCGACGATAGGGAGCAAGATAGCTAGACCTGGTTCGAGAATCCTGTGAAATCTTCCCATTCTCTCGACAACCCATGCTGTTTGCTGGGGAACAAATCTAGAGGAATCGCAGGTTAAACAATGTCCTTACCCTACTCTTTAAGGGTAGAGCATTAGCAGGCAGATGTACAAACTTGATAATTGTATTGGCCGGTAATCTTTCCTTTCTGAAGTAGCTTGGAGATCCGCCTCTATCTGGCCCAGGGCTTCCAAACAGTGAGTTTCCCCCAGGACCAGGAATTGAATTGAAAGCTCTTCTTTGTGAAAGTTGGAATCGTTCATGTGATGGCTGTGATGACGACACAGATTTTGAGAGTAAGGTGAAGGACCTATATGCCACCATCCCCGCAGGACCTTGACGAGCATTACGGAGCGGCAGAGCGGAGAAACGCAGCATGTTGACGCTCATTCTGGGCATATAATTCAAACGTCGATGTAAGATGAGGACGTTTCCGTGCTTTCACTAAATTGGTACTGTTGAAGGTAGTAGATGTGAGTGGACTCATTGTGGGCAAATCAGTTGTCAAGGCTCTCTTGAGGCTCTTCGGTATCGGGCCTAGCGCGAAATAATGAAAATACATAAAGTCATACCCCGACATCTTGAAATATATCCTAAAGCTTTATATTTCTTATCGCAATCGCTTGGAAGCACATGCGGTCCCAGTATTAAAGTGTTGAGACTTGCAAGGCGGTCACGTGACACTTGATCTCAAGCATTAATGGTCCTTGAAATTCATCCAGCACTGTTTTTTTCATGAATTTGACAAGAGCTGAGTTCGATCAATTTCTGTTTTATAACTTACCTCTTATCTGCATATAGATTTCCAAAACCATAACTATCTTTAAATCATGAATTATTAGTATTAGAGCTAGACTCATGTACTATCACTCGCTGATTTAATATTTACTGGCCAACAACTTGGGGCAACAATTTTATGTGTAACAGACCGCCAAGACATTCCACAAACGACCTGGTAACCTGACCTTGTAGGCTCGACCAACAAACATCCTTCCTTCTATTCTTCAATATCCCATCCACATAAATTCACCAAAATGGCTTCCACAGTCGGAAAGAGCAGAACAGGCACAAATGCTACACCACTGGGCCAACGTCGTCTTCAAAGCCATGGTGAAAGAGATTTGGCAGTTGATGACCCCAAAAAGTCTGCTTGGAAAGAGCAACCGAAGGTGAACCTCATCAAACCGGAGAGAATTCTTAATGCAGAAATATTAGAAAGCGTAGGCGATGGAGTCAAACGAGGACGATCTGAAAGGCGTGGTATGTGTCGATTTTCCCCCGTCTCTTGTTCACCCCAACAAATACTCGCCAGTGGGTGCTGTACTAACCACCAATCAATGTACTAGAATTACCTGATGGCAGGAAACGCAAAAAGGCGAACCGCTGGGGAGCCGTCGACGAGAACAAGGTTGCTGGTCTGATGGGACTTCCTACTGTCATCCTTACCCCGATGACAAGTGAGCAGCTAGATGCCTACACTATCCATCTACGGGTTGAAGAGATCACCCAGAAGCTCAAGATCGGTGACATCGTCCCAGACGATGGTAACCGGTAAGTTCCAACTGCTATTTCGTCTTCTCCTAGTCCTGATCGTTAACCTCCGGGTATAGTTCGCTTTCTCCAGCGCCTACATATGATAACCAAGGACGTCGTATTAATACGCGTGAATATCGCTACCGGAAGCGCCTGGAAGATGAACGCCATAAATTAATTCAAAAAGCTAACACAGTATTTTCAAACTACCATGCGCCTTCTGATTATCGTCGCCCAGCCAAGACTATTGAGAAGATCTATGTGCCGGTCAACGATTATCCAGAAATCAACTTTAGTAAACTAACCCCCCCGCTTCCACTTGCTTAATACAGTGAACTCAAATTTCTGAATTTCTTCTAAGATCCACTAACATACATGTCTCTGTTTCCTCTACTTTTGGTACTAATAGTTGGGCTTCTTATCGGTCCTCGTGGAAACACTCTTAAGAGAATGGAATCAGAGTCTGGGGCAAAGATTGCTATCCGCGGGAAGGGCTCTGTCAAGGAAGGGAAAGGGGCCAGCGATAGAGCCACTGACTCTAATCTTGACGAAGATCTTCACTGCTTGATTATCGCCGACACCGAGGGCAAGATTGAGTTGGCGAAGAAAGCTATTCTTGAAGTTATTGAAACGGTAAATTAAAGTTGCTTCCTAGCCATTTATCCTTACTCACAACATATATCAGGCTGCTTCTATCCCCGAAGGACAAAATGCTCTTAAAAGAAATCAACTTCGTGAATTAGCTTCCTTGAACGGGACTCTTAGAGATGACGAAAATCAAGCATGTCAAAATTGTAAGATTGGTCCCTGTATTAATATTATTTCCAAACTAACTCATATAGGTGGTGGTCTCGGCCATCGTAAATACGAATGTCCCGAGAAACGCAATGTCACCTCCAACGTTATTTGCAGAATTTGCGGGAATGCGGGGCACATGGCAAGAGACTGTCGTGATCGCCAGAAGGGATCTGATTGGAGAAACACCGATTCATTTGCGCCTCAGGCAGATGCGGTGGAGCGTGAATATGATGTTTGTTTCCCCTCCAAGTGAGTCTAATTAAGCAATAATAACAAGTCTAATGGCTATTAGCAACTCATGCTTGAGCTTTCAGGCGATAATCCCCATCAAGGCGCAACTGGCCCTCCCGCTCGGCAGAATCTCATCGAGAATGGGCAAAATCAAGCTGTTGACGACAGGAGACCATGGGAACGAGGACCCACGGGTGGACCTGCACCGTGGCTCAATCCCAATAACAACTCTGGTGTACGCCCGCCAAGAACTGAGAATCACGATGGCTATAAGAACGATAGTAGAGATGCTTTTAGAACTCTGCCGACTGGGCCAAGCAGACCCGTTGGTGCTCCATGGCAGAAACAGCAGCAGCAGTACGGGCATGCTCAAAATGCGAGCGAAAATCCAGACAGTGGACTATCTCTTCAGTCCTACTCCGGCAATCCTACAAGACCAACCCCTTGGCAAAGAGGTCATGGAGGTCATTCGTACGAGAACACTCAGGGATTCTCCGCTCAGGGAGGGCAGTTTATGCATGATCGGAACCAGGAATACTATCATAGTCAGCCTAATCCACAGTACCAACAGCTATTTGAGTACAATACCAATGTATGCGTTCTCTCGTCTCAAATTTCTTCATTTACTTACTATTCTCAACTAGAAATATTCATCTGGGAGTCCATATGAATACATGAAACACCAACAAACACAGGGGGATATGTTACAAAACCAGCAACAATTTCATCAATCATATTACAGGCAAAACCACAGCACCAACTATCACCCCGATAGTGCCAATTCTCACAATCATGCTCGACCTTTGCTTCAGTCTGTTGGGGACTCTGTTCCGCCTCCGCCTCCGCCGTCGCCTCCACCTCCACCTCCACCTCCACCACCTCCGCCACCACCGCCACCACCTCCACCTCCTCCACCTCCATCCACCTTCCGTCGCTAAAACATGCCATACGAAATATGAGGGGTGTTGGATGGCGGTTGAAATCGATTTTGTCAGGCATACCATCGTGAACGGGAAATTGGCGGGAAACAACAAAAAAAAAAAAAAAAAAGGCTAGGCAACTAACAAGACTGGCAAAAAGGCAGGAGAATAAAAATTCTGGAGTGGAAGCTCACACACAGATCTTTAACGCTAGTTCTAGTTGTGGCGGGTCCCCCTTTTAACTACTACACAGATACCTTACTCATCTACATGTACTTAGTCGTTAACCAAGTACACAATAGCTACTGATGTCCTATAGTATTGACAATTGAACACACGCAGCATTAACACTTCCCGCAAGCCAAAAATATTAGCAACCAAAAGTGCGCCCATGATACACGCTGACAGTGTAGGGTGCCTTGGTACACATGACTAGTATATTTGATTTGTGGACTAAAATGATCGGCAAACCCAAATGGCCCATATCTTTTTTGGTCTACCCTGAACTGGTAGAAAAATCTTTTTTTCTTTTTTACCAATTGACCCAATCAAGACAGGCAGGCACCCGTCTGAGACCTGACAAGCATCGGTACAGCACAAACTAAAAACAACAAAAGATCGACGCTACTTGGTAGCTAGCTAGCCCTTGTAGATCTCAGCGCGCACCAGCCACAGCAATGTCCGAGTGATCGTTCATGATTGGAGATAAATGCATGTACGATAAGAACATAGCAAGACCGTGTGATTCAGTGGTTAAGATGGTTGGCTTGGGGTGCGTGTGTCGTATATACGGAGGAAGGCGGGTAGGTATTGAGAATTGGAATAGGAATCGAAGTTGGTAGGTACGAGTTGGTAGGTACGCTAGGAGACTGGGAGATTGGGAGAAGGTGAAACGGAGCGTCAATTATCATTCACAGAGTCTTTGCAGTTTGGACCTATATACCATCCACCGTACCGCATCGCCTCACAAGCAAGCAAGCAAAAGAAAAAAAATGGGCAATTTAAGAAAAATAAGAAGAAAAAGAAAAAAAAAAAGAGAACAGAAAACAGAAAACAAAAAAAATCAACACCACGGGCGCAGAACCACAACCAATTCCGGCCCCCCCCCCCCCCCTTTCTAGAACCTAAAACTACCTAACCCCCCCCCCCCCCTCTCTTTCTCCACGCACGCACTACCTCTCCTCCTCCTCCTCCTCCTCCTCCCCGCCCTCCACCCTCTTCACCTCGACCCCGGCCTCCAGCAACCTCCCATCCTGCCTCGCCCGCTCGCCCTCCTGCCACCGCACCAGCGCCGCCTGCGCATGCGTCTTGAAGCCGAAGCAGCGCGGCGTGTAGCGCTCGTTGCACTTTGGCGGGATCAGCCCCGGGTACACCTGGAAGAGGATGTGCGGGAACGACGCGCCAAAGTAGGCGCCGTCGATGGCCGCGTGGCGCGTCGACTTGGGCGAGTACACGTCCTCGCACTTTGCGCAGTACAGCTTGACCGACTTTTGCTGCGCGATGTCGGAGAGCCCCAGGGGGAGCAGCGGGTGCGAGCGGCAGAGCACGCGGGGGCAGCGCCCGAAGTCGCATTTTTTGTACTTTTCGAGCTAGGGTCGCCATGTCAGCGGCGGCACGACGCGGGGGGGGGAATGGGGGATAAATACCATCTTGGCGAGCCCGCGCGTGGTGATGATGTACCGAGCGTGCACGAGGCCGTACAGATGCCGGGCCGACTTCTCGATCTGCTCGCGCACCTCGTCCTCGCACTCGAAGTCGAAGACGTCGGTGACTAGGTCGAGCGCGTACTGGTAGTACTGCACCTCCTGCTGCAGGCCCGTGAGGTTGAAGCGGTCCGTGAGGTACTCCTCGTCGATCTCGCAGAAGTACTCGTGGCCGCGCGCGGAGATGAACTGGTCGAAGGACATGAGGGTGTTAGTGTCTTTGCCTTGCTTACTTGCGGGGGGGATGGGGGAGAAGGGGGTGGGGGATGGGAGGAGGGGGGGGATGGAGGAGAGGGAGTGATGGGGGGAGAAGGGGAGATACCCAGTCGCGCCAGTAGTTATTGTAGTCGCTGTCGGTCTCGGAGTTGTAGTCTTCCACTACGGGGAGGTTAGCCATTTGCTCTCCTCTCTGCCCACTCTATCTCCGCGTCCGCAGGGGGGGCCTTACTGGCTAGCTGTGTTGTTGGTGGTTGGTTAGCTGGTGGTAGAGGTTGTGCTGTGTGCTGTGGGTTTTTTTTGATAGAAGCTAGATAGACAGGTGTCTGTATATCCGGGCCGCCCTATCGCAGACAAGAGATTCCTGTGTATGTACCTACTGCTATCCCCAGTCAGTCACTCGCTCGCTCCTATACCGCGGCAGGCAATTCTATAGAGCAGGCTAGCGAACCTATCGGATCGGAGTCGACACGGGCAATTCTTTCGCTTTGAGCAAGGCCGGGTGACGATGGGTGTTGATGTTGTGCCTAGTTACACACGCACGCACGCACGCACGCACACACGCACACCTGTGACAGACGGGGTTTGGGCTGCGGGAGAGCTGTGGGAGTCCCCGCGTTGGCCGGTGCGGAGGAGGAGGAGGAGGGGGAGGGGGAGGGGGAGGGGGAGGGGAGGCGGGTTGGGTTGGGTTGGGTTGGGTTGGTGGGTTGGTGGGCTGGTGGGTTGGTGGGTGCGGGTTGCGTTGCGTGTATTAGTATGGCTGGCTGGCTGGCCCGGTCTAAGTCTGGGTCTGGTCTGTCTGCTCTGCTGGGGTGAAGAAGGAAAGAAAGAAAGAGTCAAGGGCGGCTGTGTGGTTGGCTGGCTGGTGGGCTGCTTGGCGGGTGCAGGGGAAACTTTATCCGCAGAGCCGCATTTGCCTTGCTGATAACGGCAGCCGAATCCTAATCCTCGCAACCTAAATCTGACAGTCTGTTTGTCGACTGCACTGCAACAAAGAAGGATACAACATCGCATGGAGAGGACCATCAATGTCTCTCCCAGCGATGCGTCAGAGACGAGCTGGGCTATGGCTATGTCTACATCTACACTCATCAACTAAGCAAGTACATACATAGCTCCCGGCCCCTGCTTTGAGTTCTGCTTGCTGTGCCGCAGAGAAGAGGGATGACTCGACTCACGCCTACAAACAACCACTGACAGCAGCACTGCATAGGCATTGACATACAGACATAGACACAGACACACGCAAAACATCTCCATCTACAGCTACAGCTACAGCTACATCCACCACTCGCCCAAAAAGCACTCCAACCTCCACCAAAAGCACACAATGGCCTCCACCCCCCACAGTCCCAGCCCCCACCACAATCCCCAAGATCTGCTTCGTATCCGGGCCCCTCATCGCCGACACCCCCTACCTCGACACGCACTACGCGCCCCACCTCCTCCGCGCCCTCTCCGCCAACCACCACTTCCTCCTCGGCCCCTCCCGCGGCATCGGCACCCTCGCGCTCCACTACCTGCTCTCGCAGTCCTGCGACCCCTCCCGCATCACCCTCTACCTCCCCCAAGGACGTTGAGCGCTACACTTGGTTCGTCGACCAGGGCGGCAGGATTGTGGTCTCGAGCGCAAACCACGACAGCCGCGATGAGGCAATGACGAGGGCGAGCCACTATGATGTGCTGCGCTGCCGAACGGTGGCGGAGTGTAGGGCGCTGTTTGGGGAGCGGTATAAGGAGAGGGTTAGTGGGACGCAGAAGAACCAGATTAGGAGGAAGAGGGGGATAGGATTGGTGTGGAGGGAGGTTGTTGAGGAGGTGGTGGAGACGGCGGGGGCTGTGGAGGCTGCAGGGGATAGGGAAATTTTGAAGAACGCGCAGAGGATGAGGGGACTGGAGAGTAAGGTGAAGGAGGCGAGGGCGTTGAGGGAGAGGTTACAGAAGGGGGAGGTGCTAGAGAAGAATCAAGTGGACAAGGCGGGGAAGTTGGAGGTTTGGGAAAGGGAGTTGGAGGGGTTGAAGTGATCATGTGGTAGTATAGATATGTAGAGTATGTAGAGTATGTAACATAGAGTATATAGCGTATATATGTTTTCGGATATGTAGCGTATATAGGGTCCATAGATCTAATGCACCTCCAGGACAGTTCCGCTTCCAGACTCATCAACTCTCAAACCCGGACTAGTAAAGACGGCCACCGACTACTATTAGCCAATATCCGCTAAAGCAGTTCTTCAAGTGCAATTGCTCACTATCGGAACATATACATAGACACCAAAATTGATGACCAGAAGATAGATACCGGATGGCTGTGTAGGAGTTAATTCGAAGAGAGAGAATTCTATCAGGAAGCTCAGAGGTAACCTCCATAAATACTCTACCAGCTTCCCTCAGCGTTATGTTGTTATCATATCTTCGCCACGATATCCTCAACCTTTATAATTTACTGTGGCCTACAAATTGTTGTCCTCCGGCTCAAGTCGTTCGCGACCTTCCGTGTGTGAGACATAGATTATCACTCGCCGCTGCCATCCGGACGCAGGGTTGTTACTTCTTTTAGTAGTAACCGATAGCCACCCGTACTTAGTAGCTACATGTACTTAGTAGATAGATGTAGCTATATATATACCAGTCCTCTGCGACGAATACCCAAGTTTTAAAAACCCCTGGTAATGATAATTGGTAGATTTCCTTCTTTGTCGTTCTCAGTTGAGCGCTATGTACTAAGTAGCTTGAGCTCTAAGTTCTGACAAGCTCAAGTTTAGTCTTGTAATTTTTTTGGTTTTAGTATCCATAGATCTCTCCGTTTCCTCGAGTCCTCAAAAGTTCTGCAGTTGCTAGATATCGACTCCACGCATATAAATCCTTTTCTCGCACCACAATTCCTTTCTCGGGTCCTAGATCTCGAAGTTCTGTACTTTGGTTGCCCCCACTATCCAATCCCCGTCACTTCCAAGCCTTCCAGCTTACTAACGCACCACCCATGTCTCGCCAACTAATAATTCTGGTCGAATAACTTAAATCCACACCTTCGAGCATCCCTTTGTGGTGTAGTTGGTATCACACCGGACTGTAATAGCTGCAATCATCCGTTGGTCACCAGTTCGACTCTGGTCGGAGGGATAACTTCTTTTTGTCATCTTGACCCACAACTTCCCCGGTCTGCTTTACGCCTGAGTCAAGATTCGTATGAGGAGTCCTTTTTCGCGAGCTCCCCACGGTTGGGGCGCTGGGTAAGCGAGTCACGACTCATCACTCGTGCCATATGTTCTGAAATCTGGAATAATGATTCTTTCTAAACAACACGAAGCTAAATACATATGCAAATTTATCAATGACCCGAACGCCGTGTTTTCTTTCTAGCTATAATACAAAAAGTCCCCATTGCATCGCTCTGGCGGGGTGTTACAATACCTTAGATCTTTTTCCTAATGTTCTTTACCTTCCTCTTCTTGAAGACGATACCATCGCTGACATTCTCCGGCTCCTCCTTCTTGACCTCCGCCGCGGGCGCTTCTTCAGTTTCGGCCTTGATATCCACACCCTCCACGTCCGTCTCCTCTTTTTTAATCCGCGGCGCTTCGTCCGCTTCCTCCTTGTCCTCCTTCTTCACCGCCGCCTCCGGCGCTTCACCCCCCCCCTCCTCCCTCTTCACCTCCCCCGCCGCCACCGCTTTCCCCTTCCCCTTAAACACCATCGGCTTAAACCCACCCACGCGCTCACCGGCCTTCGGCGGATACGTCTTCATCTGTATCCGAAACCCGCGCATCGCGCGCTCATCCTCATCCATCGCGTTCCACCTCCGCTCCTTCTCCTCCTCCTCAAACTTCCTCTTCAGTTCCCCCTGCAGCTTCTCCTTCTCACTCATCCCTCCTCCCCCGGCGCCCCCCCCCCCTTTCTCCGGCCGCGCCACCCCCACCCCCACCCCCACCTCCGCCGTCTCCCAATCCCCCACCATCGCCAGCTCGCGGCGCGCCTCGTCCGGCAGCGCGACGCCGAGCGACTCCAGCTCCTTGAGGTGGCGCTTCCGCTCCTCCTCTGTCGCGGCCCGTGTCGACACGGGCTTGTAGGTCGGTCCCGCCGCCGCGGCGGAGGAGGAGGAGGATGGGGAGGGGCCGGAGACGAGGGCGTTGAGGCGCGCGACTTCGCGCTTGGCGGAGGCGGCGGCGGAGGCTTCTTTTTCGGTTGTGCGGTGCAGGTCGCGCAGGAAGCGTTTTAGCGCGCCTTGGTGCTTGGGCGACGCGTCGTGGTTCTTCTTGCTGACGGGGGTGTCGACGACGAATGTTTTGCAGTGCTTGCAGTAGTATTTTGGCTGTGGGGGGGGTTGGGGGGTTGGGGTTAGTGGTGTGGGTTTGAAGGGGGGGGAGGGGAGGGGGGGAGCGTACGGTGGATTTCCAGTATTCGGACATTGTGGTGGTGAGGGGGTTCTGTGGTGGTGAGGTTCTGTGCGGGGGTGGGTTTGAGCTGTTGTGGTTGTCTGTGGCTGGCTGTGGTTGTCTGTGGTTGTGTTCGGGGGTGAAGCTGTCGATGGTTTCTGTGCAACGGGCACTTACCCGGCGTGCACCCAACCCGCCAATCCGCCCCTCCCCCGCAGTTGCACCACCAGAAGCCACAAGCCATCATCCTATCGATACCGTCCCTCGCAGCAGCACACAATCACATCTCCACACCCCACAACCAACAACCACCACCCCACCACCATCAAGATGTTCAAAAAAGGGTAATACCTCCCTCCCCTCCCCTCCCCTCCCCCTCTTTTCTCTCCCCAAAACTAACACCCACCCAGCTTCACCGGCACGCAAAAGACCAAACTCAAATCCTCCGTCCAACGCGCCCTCCGCACCAAGATCACCGACCAATTCCCCCTCCTCGCGCCCCACATCGACGAGCTCATCCCCAAAAAGTCGCAACTGGACCTCATCAAAGCGCCCGACCGCATCTCGCTCTACGCCCTCGGCGCCGACATCCTCTTCTTCCAGCACCACGACGACGCGCTGTTCCCGCACCTGCGCGTCGTGCACCGCTTCCCGCAGTGCTTCCCCACGCTCCAGATCGACCGCGGCGCGATCAGATTCGTGCTGAGCGGGGCGCAGCTCATGTGCCCGGGGCTGACGTCGCCGGGAGCGAGGCTGCCGGAGAAGGGGGAGGAGGAGGTGAGGGCGGGGACGGTGGTGGCGATTGGCGCGGAGGGGAAGGGGGAGGCGTGTATGGTGGGCCTGCTGAAGATGGATACGGAGGCGATCAAGAGCGTGAATAAGGGCGTGGGCGTGGAGACGGTGCATTATTTGGGGGATGGGCTGTGGAGGTTGGATGTTGACTAGCTGTGATGCTGGATTGTGGGGGGGGGGGGGGTTACTTTCTTTTCTTTTCTTTTAAATGGGCTGGTGATAGATTTTAGGGGCCCGCGTTTAATACCATGAGCTTTTTTAGTTCTTGTTCCTTCTGTGAATCGTGAATTGTGAACAAGTAGCCTGCAATCCCGTAATTCCGGCATCCCGATCATTACCACCCCAACTATCATTACCACCCAATCCAACTCACCCACTTCCACTTCCACCCAACCACCCACCCAACCAACCACAGCGCCCTCCTCACAACACAGCCACCGTACCCGGCTACCCCGTAGCACAAGACAAGGCAATGAAAACTACTTCAACCCATTGGCCAATAAACACCCAGAACTGGTCCATGCTCTATAACGTCTCCTCTATCACACCGGCTGCAGCCCCCAATTGGTATTGTACTGCCAACCCAAATCTTCCGACCCAGTCACCTTCCCGGCCCCAGTGCAGGGACACCCGCCGACGTCATTGCGGGTGCGGCTGCAGATGATACTGTGGCATTGGGTCTACCTACATGTATGTACTCCTCCCCTCCCCATCTCGTCCCGTTCCATCGTTTCATGACTACCCCTCCGCGCGCGCCGCAGTTGCATCCGTACCTCTAACCGCTCCGCACCCGGCTTGAAACAAGAAGAAAAAGAAGAAGAAGAAAACCATACGAAAATCTACACCCCTGCCAACTCTACATTTTCATACTGGACAACATGGACAACAGAAACACAGACAACAAAAAGACAGACAACGAAGCACCCCATACAAACACACACACAAACACTCTACACGAAACAGTAACAACACGAAATAGTAACAGCAACAGTAGCACCAACAGTAACAGTAGTAGTATAAGTAGCAGTAGTAGCACCAACAGTAACAGTAGTAGTATAAGTAGCAGTAGTAGTCTCAATAGTAGTATCAATAATAAAAACGCAGAAAAGAAGAAAAATAAGATCTCAAGAGCAGAAATATATAATAATTCCAAGTACAAACACTCCCATCCCATCCTATCCGTCCCATCCGTCCCAACCATCCTATCCAGCCCTACCCATTTCCAAGTCCCGTACCCCCATTAGACGCACGCAAAAGACTAAGACTAATTTTAAAAGAAGAAGAAACAGTAAAAAAGGCAGAGGAAAAAAAAAGCCGAACTATGATAAAACACAAAACTAGGCTGACTAGACGCAAAGTAACAGCACACAAAACAGAGGACCCGAAAGCAGAAGAACACAAAAAGCAGATCGCAGCCCGATACAAACAGATAAGAAAAGGCCGGAGAGGAAGAGAAGAACAGTTGAAAAATAAGGTCAATAACTAAAATACGGCCCAAGCAGCCAAAAAAAAAAAAAAAAGAAGAAAAGAAAAAAGGGACAGCACATCTACGTATACCTACTCTGCCCGTACCTATTCCGCGCAGGCCCCGCACCCCGTCCTTTAAACCCCCTACTCCCATCCAAGTCCGGACCCCGTGGTTCCCTCACAGCTTGCACAACACCAGCCTGCATTGACCCAGGCGCCCTAACGTTCTTCTCCTGCGCCGGTGCCGGAGGCGTCTGTGGCTTATCGTACACGAAGCGGCCCTCTCCCGCAGCTGCCCCGTAGATCCCCGGGTTCTGGGTCTGCCGTGGTTGGAACTGTGAAATGTAGTCGTAGCCACCATTGACATTTCCATTGCCATAGTTACCATTGCCGTTTCCATAGTTGCCATTGCCGTTTCCATAGTTGCCATTGCCGTAGTGGCCATTATTGCCGTTGTTGTAGTAGTCGTACTCGCCTGCACCCGCGCTGTACCCAGACCATTGTTGGCTCTGCTGCTGCACGGGTACCACCGTCTCCCTCGAGAAATCGTCCCAGTCGAGGCCGCCCTCGGTCAGATACACGCCGCCCTCCGGATCACGATCGACCACGATCTCCTGGCTATCCCTTGCCGTAAGCTGGCTCTCGAGCAGCTTTCCATCAACCTTCTGCAGATACCGTCTTCCACCTGCAGGCACCACCGGCGCAGCCGTAAACTCCCCGCCATTGAGCGAGAAAGACGTAATCGCACCGTTATTACGCGGCGGCGACGGCCGTCTACTCGGCGTACGACTCCGCGATACCGGCGTCGTACCTCGGCTGTTGTTTGTGCTGTGCTTCCCACTGCTGTTGGGCGTCTGTGAGGGGGATTTCGACTTTGGCGTTGTGTTTGTGTCGGGGGAACGTTTTCCCTGCTTCTGCTGCTGCTTAGGTGTGCTGTTGTTGTTGCCGTTGGTGCTGGCAGGCGTGGAGGGGGAAGAGGAGGAGGAGGCAGCCTCGCCCATAATGCGCTCCCGGGCTTCCCGGTACCGTCGCTCCTTCTCCTTGCGCTCTCGCTCGCGGCGTGACTTGTCTGTTTCCTCCGAGGTTACGGCCGGCGCGGGGGCCTCGGGGGTGTCGGGTGTGCGCTTGAGAATCTTTAGCTCGGGCCGGTATGTGGTTCGCGGCTGGCCGCTGATGGTATAAAGCTCAGAATCTGGGCGGAGGATGCGCGGTGAGAAGGCGGGTGCGGCTGGATTGGGCCGAGTGTTTGTGCTGGATTGCCGGGGCGCCCAGTCTTCTTCTTCCCATGAGGCGGGGACGCGGGTCGTCATGTCTGGTTGTGAATGTGTGTGTGGTGGTGGGTCCTAGAATGAAGAGATTGTTTGCTGTAGCAGATGACGGTGGTGGTGGTGGTGGTGGTTATATACTTTAGTAGTGGACCAGGTGGTGGTGGCTATAATATATTACCACCGATGATGACGGTGGTGGATCCGAGTGCTGCTGTGGGGTGGTGGTGCTGCTGGTGGTGGGGTAGCTGAGTATTTATCCCAGCCGTTAACTCGTCAATGGAGGCGGCGCCTTGTACGTCCACTCTGCTACCACAGCAGGAAACAGGAATGTATCCCAAACCAAGCACCCTCCTCGAGCCTGCCTGTCACTCAATCTCGATTAATCAATCAGAGGACCGGGCCTGAGTGCGTAAGGGGTGACGAGATGACGATTGGCGGAGATTAGAGAGGAAGCGGAGTGGAAGGGGATGGGGGATGGGAGGGGAGGGGGAGCAGAGCAGAGCAGAGAAGATGAGAGGAGAGGACTGGAGAAGGTGTCGTTACGGGTTGTGCGTGTTCGTTCTGTTTGGGAGTCAAGGTGTTGTTGTTGGTGCGAACTGGCTTAGTTAATAAAAAAAAAATAGGGCCGTTCGGTTGACACTGAATTGGTTGCAATCCATGGATTGAATAAAAAAAAACACCACCACCATCATATCATAACCACCACAGTTCAACAACAGAACAGCATCATCCCCCGAATGAGTGGACTGTGAGTAAAAAAAGGACCGACTCGCATGTACCTTTCCCCCGATAAAGTCCTGCTACCCGGGCTGCGGGGCGGTGGTTGGTTCGTGGCCAGCTGGGCGTTTTCAATTGGGTCGGTCTGGTAACCTACTCCCCACGCGAGTAGAGGAGTATCATGTAGGGACTCCGGCAGGGTAGAGTACCGAGTGAGTGGAAGAGTGGCTTTAGAAACCCAATCCCTCTGCGTGTTTCTCCAGTCCACAGAAGGAAGCCATAGGAACAATTATGATGTAGTCACTTTCCTCCACGTAGGTACATGCAGTTCAGTCATTACCAGCAAAAGTACCAGATGTTACTAGGAACACAATGTACCTCTCACCGGAACCCCTCCCTCTGCCGATCATGGTTCATCACTCTGACAGTGCGCACCATGACATGACAAGATGCCGAACAGCACCCATCCCCCATCATCATCATCCCTCCCTCCTTAGCAGAAAACCCCTCCTCCCTTCCCCCTCCCACCGCCGCCGGAAGACATACAGACAGCAGAAAAGAAAAGAAAAAACTCCTGCTCCCTCCGCCTCCTCTACGTGGTCCTGACGAGCGCCACCCCCTCCTCGCTTGCACTTTACGTAGGGCCGAAAAAAAAAAAAATACTACATACACAAGCCACAACAAATCATGAAACGCGAGGCTGAGGTTTTTTGCGGGCGTCCCCTTTGTGTAACCCTCATGCAGAACGTAGGTACCGAACGTGCGCAGTTTCTCAAGCAGGATCGCGGGCCGGGAGAAGGGAAAAAAAAATGCGTAGCTGTTTCCAGCAGCGTTGTTCGTTCGGACGACGTGGTGTGTGGTGAAGGGTAGCGGTGGGGTCATAGGGTGTCACTCGCGAGGTGGTGGTGCGCCTTGAAGATTGTGGGGGAGGCGAGGAGGGGAGGTAGCTAGGGGTAATGATAGGTAGTATGGCGCCTTGCGGCGAGGGTGAAGTTTCCTCATAGGGTAGTATGCTGTTGGGTTTTTATGCCTACTTATTTTGCTGTGTCGGTGGTGGGTTGCCTACATGTACCTACCTAACCTTCCTACCTTACAGTGGGTTCCTACAAGCACTACCATACTACTAGCTTTCCGCTCCAGATTCATACCTATTCACTCACGGTTCAAGGCGTATTAACGCAATAATAATCACCAGGCTCTACGAGTTCTCAATTGCCCATTGCAACATCCAGCTGAAAAACGCACCACGTGATGATGAATAACAGCGTTGGAATGTAGCATACCAGGTAAGTAAGTAGTTTACTCAGGACTCCAACCAATCACGAAATTACTTGCATAACGATCATTGCCGGCCGCGGCGGCCCCACTACTCACCACCTCCCTGCCTACCCCTCCATCCATCCATTCGTCCATCCATCGATCCCAATCTAAAACAAAAATGTCAGCACGCATAATTTCAATCTCGGCTCGCAGCACTTTGGCTCCGTACGTACATGCTGTATCATGAGAAGCTCCTCATTGCTCCCACCACTTCATCCATCTCATCCACCTCCTCCACCGCCTACTCCCCCGTCCTTCTAGCAAGGGCCACAAACGGCATATGACGTTCGATCCGAACCTGTATGCACCTTACCCCCGTACGTCTGCGCTGTTACACCGGTACTTCCTAACACCCAGTGCACCCAGTGCACCCACCGCTCACGACCCTAGCTTCCAGAACACCGCATATCATATTCATGCATACCCGTCATCGTGGTCCTGTATAGAACTTCTAAAATCCTTCAGCGACGTGTTCCATGCATACCCCCCCCCCCCCCCCTTCTTTACGCTGCTGGCACCACTATCACCGTTCTCGTTTCCTCATGACTGATCATTGAGCCTCCAGCTCACCAAGAATCTCGGAATGAGCCCACCATAGATCTCGATTCTCGACTCACATACCCCACGGCGAGATGAGCTCAACAGTCTCCGTCAACGCTGGCTACAGAGCTATGGTGCTTTGGGAGAGTGCTCCCGATCGATAATGGGGCGAACGGCCGCAAGATGAGCTCAACAGTCACTCTCCACACGCTACGGTTATGGGGCTCTGTAGTGGGGGAGCGCTCCCGGTGATGAGGCAGACGGAGGATACACCTGCCAAACATGCATACCGTATACCAACCCAACGTTCGTTCCAACGTATATACCCAAACGCTCCCGTACAGCCGACCGCACTCGCAGATGCGGTATTTTGGCCGATGCTCATATATGCTTATGTTCACTGAGATGCGCTGCGTTGGGTTGAGTTGAGCTGAAGATACCCTGGGTAGATCACTTTGGCCAAAGTAGGAAAAAGAAAAAACAATGATCGCCGCTGGGATGCTCAGCTAGGCCATGATACGACCCTGGGTGCTAGAACATCACGAGTACGAGTGTGGCTAGAGTGTGTTCATGAGGGAAGATGTTCTACAAGCACTGTGCTATGTGTGCTCGTTTTCAAGCTCGGGTCATGAATCGACCGAGCACTAAAGTTTGCTTTTCGGAAGAGATTACGGTTAGTATCTTGATACCACTCACTATTGTACATGTGCGAAGAAACAACGAGTTAATTAAACTATCATACCTACATGTACGTATACGTACGATTGATCTACCTACAAACCATGCTCCGGGTTTGAGAATGAGGCAGTGCTGATGATGGCCGTCCGCATACTGGAAACGGAAACAGTACTCGTTCTGTTGAGCGAGAATGGGGAGCTATGGTACAGTGAAGTATGTCACTTTCTGTGGATGGGTACGCTCAACATTGAGCTCAATTGGGAGAGCTTTGTTGGATGAGAGTTGGGTTGGGCAAGATGGACACAGTAGTAGTGCATTGTACGCAGATGGGAGTCACTTCACATTCTATAATGATGGCTTTGGAATTGGGAATGATGCTCACAGCGGTGTATCTACGGATATGGAAGTCACGTTCACGTTCTACAATTAATGGTGATCGATGGTTTCGGGATTGGTTTTTTTTTTCTTTTCTTTTCTTTTCTCTTTTTTTTTTTTTTTAGCTATATCCAAAATGGGGTTTCTATCTAGTATTCTTCGTGCTCGTCATCCGTATCTACACCCAGGAGAGGAGCCAAAGGAACAGGCAGGAGCGGAGGGAGACGGGACGGGAAAGAGACGAAGAGGGAGAGGGAGGAACAAAGAGAGACGAGGAGAGGAAACCAAAGAGCAGAACTGGAGAGCCAAAAAAGAGCCAGGGGGGAGAGCCAAAAAGCAAGCCGAAAGCCAAACCAAGAGCCTAAAAAAATCCCACAGAGGACGAGCCAAAAAAAAAAAATAAAAAAAAAAAAAAGAGCCAAAAGAAGCCAAAAAACCAAAAACCAAAAACCAAAAAAAAAAAAAATGCCAACCAAGGAGCCAAAAGAACCAACAAATGAGCCAAAATAACCCCCCAAAAAAAGCCAAAGAAACCCCAATTTTTTTTTCTTCATCCCCTCGCAACAGCCAGAAAGACAAAGCAAAAAAGAAAGTACAAAAGTACCCCTGAAAAAAAGGGCCACCCAGGGGACCCTTTGTTTTCAAGCAACCATATACCTATTTCAATACCATTATTAGCACCGACCAATTGGAACCCCCACCCATCCCTCCCTGGAGGAGGAGGAAAAGATGAAGGATCCCAACTAGCAAGGCTAGGCAGGGGATGGTGCTGTGCTGTGGAGAGAAACGAAGGGAGAGGGGAGAAGAGGCCTTACAAAGGATTCTGGTTGTTTTTCGGCCGCTGCCAAGCTCCATTGAATGGGACGGCTAAGCATTGCAAATCGGGAGACGGGATAAATTTAGCTAGCAAAGTGCGCGCTCAACTTCTGAGGCGGACGCAGACCGTCATTTGTCTGTCTGCTTTCCTCCTGCTTCTTACTCGCGGCGCACCGCAACGTTGGCCCCCTAGCTCCTGAAGCTGTATCCGTAGGAATAAACTTGCAGTTGTCAACACTTACGTACATGTACTTCCTATCCTATTGTCTGTTTACGTTCCCTCCTATCACATCTGCAGAGTATATGTAACTCGCTGATGATAGGAGGAGATACAGCATAGCCGCTCGCCCAACTTTTGTCAGTAGGTAGACATCCAAGAAACCTCAGTTAGGGCGAGTGATGGCTCATGAGTATCGTGATCAGCAATATGAAGTAATCATCCATCTTTTTATCATATTCGCCAACAGGGCGAATGAGAGAGAGGATGTGGAGAGCAATATCTACACATTGAGCTTAACTATTGGGTTGGGCTTACGTCTAAGCAAAACCGTGGGTGATTAGCTTCTCCCATTCGTGGAGCTCTAGAGCTGCTGTTCAGGCTCTGCAAACGCAACCAGACAGCATCATGCAACAATGTCTGGAAGCGAGAGCAGGGTTAGGGTTATTTATAGAAGATTGACTTGGTTTCCCTCCTGGCACTGGACGATGAGCGAGTGGGCACCTACGCTTGGGTGAGAAGACTCCCCTAACCCTGGAACAGGCCGTCATCTACTGGTCCGCTTGATCTGAACCACCCACCAGATGGTGGCAACATGTCAAATCGTAACCCCGGCTCAGTTACTGTCTCCTAGTTCGATAGACAAGGCTACATGTATTTCAATGCAGAACCGAAATCTGCACTACACATGTACACCTATCCGCCATTCACATTTATACCAGTTACTGTCTACATGTATGTACTTCAATTTGTGCCCTTTACCATTCATAGGCATCAACGCCCGTGCCCATCAAAACCTCTGGTGGGTAGATAATTCCTTGTTGGGAATATCAATTTTCAGTAGATTTCACTGGCAAAGTACATGTACATAGCGTTTACCTATCCCTCACGCTGTCGATCCTGACCCCCCTATAACAGAGGAATTAGATTTTTATGAGAGATATATTATATGATAAGAGAGATAACGGGATCTGTTAGTAAAGCCACACCAAATTTGCTTTTTTTTTTTTTTGGTGGGTCAGCATTTTCGCGACAGCTGAAGGGATATATACCGGAATATATCAAGGCCACTTCATATAAAAGATCTAGAGCCATATATGGCCCTAGCTACATGTAGCTGAAGATACTTAAGCGTTCTCCCGCATATTACACTTTATCCTAGTGCATGTACTTCCACATCCAACATCGTCATGATCAAGCATCTATTTCCAATGCTTCTATCAGCCCTAAACCGGAGCTTCTTTTGTTCTAAATATGTATGGAGTCCAGTACATAAGGTACATGTATATGTATGTACCACCGACACCTCCTGGGTAAGATTCAAGTTGATAGATAAAACAGGCTCTGCTTTACGGAGTCGGAGCGCTTACACGAAGTACCGTTCTGGTTTTCAAGAGAACTCTACCTCCGCGGCAAACAGTTGGCAATGCAGGCATAAAGGCGTGTGTTTAGACTACAATGAAGCCTTTTCAAGATGCACTATTATAATCGACTCGACAGTTGTTTCAGGCCCGATATCATGTCTCTTTTCTTTTGCTGCGGCTGGATCTTGAATGATAGATTATTTCGAATACTCTTGTATTTAAAGGAATCCGAAGGGGACTCGGAATGGTATGATTTCTTCACGTTTGTTATAGCATATTTTACTTTACTTTCTTAGCACACACTCGTTCTTTCCTCGATTCACTCGTTTTATTTCTTTCCTTTCGGGATTACACACGCTCATTATTTCCTGCTGCATATAATTCCCAATCCACTCCAATCGCTTTATATTTCCTCCCAACACCCACTTCACCTCTATCCCACCTTACAAACACCAATCTTAATTCCCCCACCAACCAACCCAACCACCACCACCACAATGGGCTGCATGACCTCCAAAGAATCCGCCCCCCGCGCCAGCCACGAAAAAATAACTTACCTCGTCTGCAAAAGCTGCCACGAGAGCCCCGTCCGCGACGTACGCCTCCTCTGCCAACGCTGCAAATACGCAAAGACCACCAACAAGCAGATCAAGCCCCGCTCCTTTTGTCCTTCCTGCGACTCTGAAACTGTCCAATACCCCGGCGAGATCTGTGGTGCCTGTATGTTCTTCTTCTTTTCCCCAGAAGTAAAATTGGAAGAGGTTGCTGATATGATCTGTGTAGGTTCTATAAGGGCTGGGTGGTCGGACCAAAGTGCGTCATCGAGATTGCCGCCTGGTCTTTTGGCTGTCACTGGGCAGGCAGGTAGTAGGGCTGCATCGTCGAGGAGGCCACATGGTCTCACGATCAAGACAGATCAGCGATCAGGCGGTACAGCACAAAGAATGCCACAAAGCCTTCCTGCTAAAACCGAGCGGTCAGGCGGAGCTGGGTCGACATCAAGAGTGCCGAAAAGTGCTCCGGCTAAGAGTACTGGACAGTCGGGTGGGTCTGCAGCATCGAGACTATCGCATAGGTTTCCGATAAAAACTGAACGAGCTGAAGGGAATGGGTCTTCTGAGGTGCTGCAAGGGTTTTCGAGAAAAACTGGACCGTCGAGTGGGTTTGAAGGGTCAAGACTATCACATAGGCTTCCGATTAGGATGCCGGAGGAGAGGGCGCATTTGAGGGTATTTTAGGTCGTGATGAAGGGTGTACTTAGGCAGCAATAGAAGTTAGTAGTTTAAGTCGCAGTTTCCGGGCTCTGGGTGAGCTTGCCAAGCATCTCAAAAGGGCGTTTGCTATATCAAGTAACAAAGAAAGAGTATGGCGCAGAGCAGAGTTGTTTCATGAGCACATGATTAAGGCTGGGATGTGAACCTAAAAAAGTCTACCGAAGCAACTGAATAAAGTCGAAGATTAAACATTATCATGATTGATTCGGTAGATGCTGCAATATAATAGGATGGCTAAGTGGTTGATCTACCCAATCTCTTCCTGAATATTAAGCCAAGGATCCCTCAGCAGCAATTGAGCGGTCCTGCGCTCGTTGGGATCCAATCTCATCATCGATCGAACCAAACGTGTAAACCCCACCACGTCCGTCTTAGAGAGACTAGGATTCCATCTACTGAGTGACTTTTCCAATGGGAAAGGGTGCATAGCTAGGTTTTTGACATGTATTAAGTCACCTGTAATGCGTTAGTTTATTCTCCGGTAAACTGCAAGATATATTGGGAGGTAAGAAGGACGTGGGGCGAGGATATACTAACCAAAGCAATCAAAGTACTTATATGAGTATTTCCCTTGACCGATTAGTTCGAGAGGAAATGTTCCGAAGCATTGAATCATTTGGCCCAAATGATCCTCTTCAGGTGTTATTCCTTTCTCTTTATTTTCTTTCCCCCAAAACATGACTCTACCTTGTAGAAGTTCGAAGATCTTTTAGGTATAAATTAGTTAGTGAATAGATAATCCTTGACGAGGCTCTTACAATACACCCGAAATTCCAGATATCAGCACTATGACCCCATGGAGCTCCGATAATAACTTCTGGAGCACGGAAGAATGGAGCTTGTATCATTTCAGGAAGTGTCTTGTCTACATACTGGGCTGGTAGGACTATTCTCAGCTAATGTTCAGGAAACCAGCACACATTAAATGGACAGGTAACAACTTACACATGCCTAAGCCAGCAAACTTGAACTTGAAAAGGTCTGGTCGAGGAAGGAGCGGTATTGGAAGCTTTTCTGAGGCAACTGCATATCCTGGTAGATCGCCGTATTCATCGCCATAATATCTTGGTGGGGTCTTTTCTAGAAATTTGCGAATAAAGCAATCAAAGTCTTCGACGCTGACTGAAACTAGAATGTTCCGGGCTTGGATATCTGCAATATTTATTAGGACTCTAAATCTTGTGCTTGATTCAGGCTTCACGTACCAGTGTGTGTGATGTCACAAGATCTATGCAGATAATCCAGTCCCGATAGCAGTTGTCTTGTCATCTCCTTGACTATGACCAAAGGAATTATCCTATTCTCGGTGCGTGCTGTGAATTCAAGGAGATTTTGATGCATTGGCTCCATCACCAGGCAACTATGTATCCCATGTGGTCCTGGAAGTGCAAAAATGGCAAATAAGTCGAGATTTCCACCACGCCCTGGGCTCTTAAAATCACCTTCTCTGATGTATTTAAGTGTTTCTAGCCTTCTTGATTCACCAATTCCGTCCGAGTTTGTAGCAGTAAATATTTTCAAGGCAACATGGCGATCGATCCTACATTTATTAGCAGTGGTTTTCAATCTAGAGATCTTTCGGGAAGCTGATATAAATCCTCACTTTTCATCTAGAGCAAGCCATACTGTTGAATTTGGACCGTACCCCAGCTTACGGACAACTTTGTATCTTTTCTGGAATAAGTCTCCAAGAATTGTTGGGTGGTATCCTCCTTTGCAATATCTTTGAATCTTTTCCTCTGGGAAGGGTATAGGAACTTGGACATCTAGGACCGGTGTCGGTTCAGGAGGGACCGTTGAGGCTCCCACGCTAGATCGTCTGCTTCGAATCGAAGAGGCCCTACTTTTAAACCAGTTTGTGATCTTCATCATTTCCATGAAATACCAGGGATCTATAGGGCAGCCTCTGTTTTTGGTCTTTTGTGAAGTTGCTGACCAATTGCTTGATGAAAGTGTCTTAGAGTCATGAAAATTTGGCGGAGGTCCCGCCTCGCACTGAGAGGAATGTGCAAACATAGGAGTGCCGACTAGTGGAGTTGTCCTCGCAATTAAGTAATGAATGGGCAATTGCGCAATGCGCACGGTATACGTATCAGAAAAAAAAATCAGAAATGCTTGCGCTATGTTGTAGTAAACGAGAAAAACCTGTGACCACTTTGGTGTTGTTTTATTAGCAGAGTCCAAAGCGCTTGTTCCAGTTACATAGAATGAATGCGATGATCACCTGCTATCACTCGATGCTCTTAACAGAGACCCGTGAGAGAGTTTTTTCCGCTCGCTGAAGATCTCGGTGATAGGATCCTAGTGAGTACCGAATATTGCACCACGAGTTTTCCAATAACGTTGGAGCGTTACTCCAACATCAAGAATCTTGTAGGATCATTGCACACGCACAGTTCATGTCAAATGAATCCTCATAGATTGATGTCGGCGGTATACGAGTTTATGAATAGCATGGGTATTTGTGAGCCCCGGGAAAAAGGAGAAATAAGCCGCGAATGGGTGAAACGTGAACATATTGTTTGGAGAAGACATTGCCCAATCACTCAGATTGCAGAGATCCAGTAAATAAATTTGGGGTTTAGCTTTGGCCAATCGGGTACCCGAGCCATCCCTGCAAGATTGGCCAGGGGTGTTCCAGAACAAGCCTAGGGGTACAAAACCTTGGACGTCACCACAGGCGTCCTATGGTGGGCGCGACCGCAGATGATAGCCTCACGTAATTATGGCTTCTCATGATCCAGATGATAGCTCGACCTTTCAGCTCTCGGACGAAGAAGGCGAACCATTACTCCCACTAGAACGAGAGACAAACAATTTCGCCGTACACGAAGACGAAGACTCATCCACGAACGATACCCAAGAAACAGAGAGTCATGAAAATGAAGTTGTCTTGACCAAAAGACAATCATGGAGTCTTTATCTATCTCACTTCTTATCTACTTGGAATGCAAGGGGATACGAGTTTGCTGCTGTAAAAATCCACCTTCCCACTCTCTAGTAATTTTAGCTAACATATAGAGTTCAGATTATCTTCACGGCATCTGCATATCCTGAGACACTCACGGCTTCTTCGATTAGGTTTTACTCTTCGTTTCACTTGGGGATAATTCCAAAGTCTGACACTCGGGGCTTAGAGGTATCATCACAACTATCGCAACCCTAGCATTGTCCGCCTCGGTGGGTCGATGGTGCGATACACATCCTTCTCGGCTACAAACTTTGCGCATAACCATATTCTTACAACGTATATGTGTCGTATTTGCATGTCTTGGATGGTTTTTTATTGTCGGGGAAGAATTTTTGGGTGGCGGGCTATTTTCGGTTATGCCCGTACCTGCATCCCGTAAAGGCGGCCAAGCTGGAATTCTCGATGGAAATTGGCTGGCAAAAGCCGCAATTATGGCTGTGGTGATGATCTTGGGAATTGGGGAACGGCTTAGTGCTGTAGGAAATATGATTGTGATGGAAAGGGATTGGGTATGTTTCTCCTTCAACGCCCACTCTTGTTGCTCGCTAACCATGGTGCTGGATCAGGTCCCGAGGTTGGCTACTGGTACCTCAAAGCCGTCACTTCCAGAATTGAATGCTGTAATGCGACGGATAGATCTTATCTGCAAACTTCTGTCGCCGATATTTATGTCCGCGATCGTGCTTTGGACATCTAGCATGCGGGTTACTATCCTAATAACTGCCGGTATAAACTTTTTGTCGATGGGCATAGAGTGGTTTGCTGCTAGGCGTGTATGGAGGGGGTGTGAAAGACTTCAAGCGCCAAAAGTTCTCAATGCCAGGCAAACGGGAGATGGAAGCGGTAATATGTTCAAACTGGAGAGATGGAGACAAAGCCTAAATCTATTCTTCAGGAGCGAGATATGGATTCGTGAGAACCTCCTCCTTTAACATCCCCCTGTTTACAGAAGAGAGGAGTTTTGACCGTTTTTTCTATAGCATCATTATCACTCGGCCTTCTTTACGTTTCTGTCCTATCGTTCTCAGCTTCGATGATCACCTACCTTCTCAATGCCGGTTTTACCTTATCAGTCATAACCGTAGCTAGAACTGGAAGTACCCTTCTTGAGGTCTCTTCAACCGTAGTGATGCCATGGAGTGTCAAATTCATGGAGAAAGCTGCCGCATGGAGATCAAGGAGGGGGAATGGAACAACACAGCCGGCAGCCAGTGAAGCAGCAGCAGTGGAGAGAACAGGGCTTTGGGGATTGTGGTGGATGGTTATAAATTTGGTATTATGGTCCTTTCCCGAAGCGTCGTCTCAAAAGCTCTACTAACCACTGGATCTTTCATCAGATTCCGGTAACAGTAGTTCTTTTTTACATCCCGGTGGATTCAGATGACCGTCCAAGCTCCCTTCTCATGAGCTCGCTCTTCGTATTTCTTGCATTTTCCCGCCTTGGACTATGGACTTATGACCTTGTTTCACAAACACTCGTCCAAACACGCATACCCGCGACAAATATAGGGGAGTTTTCGGGCGTAGAGATGGCTTTTATTAATACTTTTGAGTTGATCCAATGGGTCCTTACTGCCATATGGAGCTCACCAGAACAATTTAAGTACGTGGCAGCTGCGGGAAACGCATGTGTTGTGATCAGCGCAATAGCGTACACAGCATGGATGTGGACATGCCGTGGGCATTTGGTGCACTGGGAAAAAGTAAAGGAATGCAGCGGCTGCAAGTAAAAGGTTCATATGTAGAACTTGTACCACCAGACTCGATAGGATAATTTCTGTAATTTAAATGAATATCATGAAGAAATATGTAGTAAAAACGTAAAAATGAAAAACTCTATATATGCCTAAAATCATGCATGACTAAGCACGCAGGCTTTCTAACAACTCTAAAGCTTCGTTTCGACAGGATAAATAATGCCGTAACTTATATAATTTCCTGATAGCAACGTGGAATAAAATTTCTGGTTATAAAGTGCAGCCTATATGTATGCGGATACGCAGGCTTAATCTGCCTATATGTGTTCGTGTGAAACATCAGTGAACTTACAGGCGTGATTTTAGTTTTGATGAGCATCGTAACTATAACCCCAGGGGTATAGCAGCATGGCCTAGTCAATGCACTCTTCTTTCATGGGATATCCAGCTTCAGTTATTGCAGCATCAAGTGTTCTGTGTCCTCCTGTGCTTGTCGGGACAGACCTGTCTCTTCAGATGAACCTTTATAACAAGTGCACCTCGACCTCGCCATTGCCGAGCCGTCATCGAATCCCCAATAAGCTGAACCGGGGGTTACCTAGGCTTTAATCTTATGAGTTATTGTCTTTGTCAAAAGTCGCCCCACTTACCAGGAATTGATGTTTGTGTTAATTATCTTGTCATACAGAGCTCACTGAAAACTTAGAAACTGTGCTCATCACGTAAATGTCTTCGCACTTTTTCAGAATCCGGCCAGGAATGTCCTATAGAATATTGCTGCCCTCCAAAACATGCGGCGATTCTTCGAGAACATGCAAGGATACAAAGTGTCTAATTTCCGGCGATATTCTTTTTTCTTTGCCAGTAGAGCATGCAGAAAAACATGATTAGACGAGGTTATGCTAATTGCGGGACCCTGCGTTTGTATTTATTGCTACCACGACGGGGCCGAAATCCTAGCGCCGGCAGGATCTCAGAGCCGCAGAGCCTCAGCCCTGTGGTTTCGGACTGGACCGTGAACCGGAAAACAACCGGCCAACTCCTCTGGGAGAAGGTTACGTACGACATGTCCTCGAAAATTAACATCAAAAAAGGGGCAACCACATTTTGCTGCCCCGTCCTCCAAATTCAGCTTTCCCCAGGGCAGCAGTTGACACCGAAAATTGATTGTCCGAAACCTCCATGGCGTGGTGATGATCCGGTCGATCTCTCAGTGCCTCGGTGATATATGATTGGCCAGATGTGACCTGTCCCCTGTGCGTGCCGCGCCGAGCTTGTCTGGGGTTGTTGGAAGTTCGAATGAGGGGAATTTTGTTTCTTTCGAGTTCCCTGCCGAAGGGTTTTTCAAGGTGTGTGGTGCCTGGCGGGCGGCTATTTTTAGCAGGGGCCCAGGACGAGCAAACTCCGCCTCTGCCTGTCGAACCACGAGCAAACGTTGGGTGTCGAACAAACGAACCGTGTGTCATAAAAATTTTCTGCCTCTTCCTTCTCGTGATCGTTCTGCACTGCAGGATACCAAGAGACGAAGCTGTGTGCCGATAAACATACATTCTCCCCGAGTCCACGCGATAGCTTCGGAAAATAAATATACGTTGAATCGAAGGAATCAGAGATAGCTGGAGAGACGTGCATCAAATTGCCCCTCCTCACAAAAGGTGTGTTGTGTTCCCTTATTCCGAGCCCCCTCCCCGCACTTGAGCATCGGGCTCTCTGTGAACAGCTTTCGTTAGTCCACTAGCTATGAGCTTACCCCAGAGTCCATTAGATAGCCGTGCCGTAAAAGGATTTGCTAATCCAGAGGAGGTTAATCCAGACAAGTGGTAAGGCTGGCAGTTGGCAATCTATCTCGGTCACCAGATCTGTGCAACACCCCGAGCTACGAGTTCATAATCGATATAAAACCGCAACCTCCCCTCCCTATCAATCTGCGAATATCTCCAAAACTCAACCATGGCATCCACAGAATCCCAGAATGATAGCACCATCGAGAACATAGCGCCCACCATCAAGATTTCCGAGCCAAAAGTTACCGTCGAGGTAATACTCGGCCGAGGCAGAAATGAGTCGACGGGCACTAAGGTCCTTTCCGTGGCATGGGATGTGACCACTGTAGATACTACAGGCTTGAACGGCGAATGGGTCATTGAGTGGGATAACATGTATGCCAGCGATGGCGAGGATCTCCGGTCCGCTAAGAGTGAAAAGGGCACCTACTTCGCACTTCAACGAGGGACCAACACCCCAGGTGGAGGAACTCCCGTTCACGAAATTCCAGAGCCTGTTTACCAGCCTGCGCCGGACTACACCAATGGAGCACCCTTATCAACAGCAAAATTACTCGCGTTTGAAAATGGATTAGATGATTTTGAGGAAACAGAGGATTTGGTTGGGTTCTTTTCATCCAGGCCAATCGTTCAAGCGCCGACCCAGATTATCCCAGATCCAGAGTCCAAGAGAGCTACGGTACATTTCTTGCTCACCGGTAATGCGCTCATACCTGACGCCATTCATGTACTCTTCGTCCCCACGTGGGGCACTCCCCTTACTCTGGCAACTGTCCCCACTCCATCGCGAACCGATTACCAGAGCGGCGGTAAGAGAAATCTCCATACCGCATGGGCTGAGGCAAGAATGGATGATCTTGCTACACTTGAAGAGATAGCTCGAGAGCTCGAATTAGAAGGTGCGCGTGGGGTTGGTACTGGAAGCCTCAAGGTTGGTGTGGAAGGTGGGGGGATGGATGAAGAGGCAGTCAGACGAGAAGGGTGGATGGTTGGCGAGGAGATGATCTGGGTACGGGAGACGTTCCTGAACAAGCATATCGCCGAGGAAGAACCCGGCCCGTCCAACGACACTGGACTCGGACTCAACATCAACACGAACTCTGGATCAAAAGCGCCGCTTAAGCTCTCAACCACTGTCTCTCCAGGCGGCACTGTTTACCAAAGCGCGTCTTCCGCAAATCACCTCCGAACGACAGCCATCGCCCAGGAGGAGGAGGACGATCTCTTTGCACTTCCGCTTTCCCCGCGTAGTCCTGAGATGTCCGTTAGCCCGTTTAGCATGTTTCGCGGAGAAGCAGTGGGGAAACAGCCAACGTCTAGACTGAATCAGGTTGTGTCTATTGATACGAGTCTGTCTCCATCGGTATCTGTAGGTGGCTCCAAAGACAATACGCCGACGGGACTGAACTCAATCACACCGACGATGGGAAGGTTGAAAATTGGTGGATATGAGCCCTTGACCCCACCAATAGATAGGGTTGGAGTTGGAAAGGAATAGTCGGTTCCTAGTAGGGTATTTTTATGTGGCGGCCTTGGTGAACATTCAGAAGGACTGGCTAGGTTCCTTGAAGGACATATTGGAGGATATTTGAGGAAGCAACGAGGAGGAGGAAGAACCTGCATTCTTATCTATGCCGGTCGCTTTGAGAGGATTTGAAACCCTGATCTAGTTATTTTAGCTTGTCCACTCGTGTTTTTTTCCTGTTCCCTGATTGAGTTTTTTCATACCATACCATGCATATGCAGTTGGCAAGAATAGGCACGAAAGGCTGGGGTGGCGGTTGGTGTATTTCTCTTCCTTTTTTCTATTTTTCTAAATACCTTAACTCATTTAGCACCTGTTTTTCTGTACTTTTTACTGCGCATATCTGGAATTAAAAGGCGAAAGAAATGATGAAAAAAAAAGGAAGAAAACCCCGATATTGTTCCCCTCCGCTCTGTAGTTATATGATATTTGCCATGTGAGGTTTTTATAATTGCCGGGGGTGCCGAGATGCTTGTGAATCAGAATCAGGTGTGGGCGCTTCTGGTGATTCATGCATTAAATGCGAATGGTTGACCCAGAATCGTTAGCGGGAGTTTTGTAGGTGGGAATCACGCAAAATCACTCGACTTTTCGCTCTCGATCCTGGGCGAAGCATGGTTTCGAAGATACCCGAATTAGAAGTGCCCTCACCACGTAGATAAATAATCATCAAAAAATCTTTCCAGAAGATTCCATGGGCCCAGTGTGTATAACCGAGGAACTTAAATTAACCAAAACGATGTGAGCAATGATCTTGGTAAGATCGATCAAAGAATATCTTCGATCAGCTACATAGCCAGAATCTTGAGTAGTTTGACACTTATGGTTGGGTGGGTTAGAAAGCGGAGACAAAACCGAATAAAATCAGCTTTCAAAGACTGCAGGAACAGTTATCGCCGTATAATGAATCTACATAGTCGAGTTTCAATCAACAAGTTGACTTTAACCCTAACCTTGTAGTAATAAGCTCGTAGGGGAGATCTTAACAACTTCCGTCGTGCCTGACTAACGGAAAAAGTAGCTTGGGATCCTGCGCGCCTATGACTAAGCACCCAAACCCAACGTCATTCCGCAACGCGTCGAGATTCCACGAACTCCCAATTTCGCCCTCACCATGTCGTCCGGCTTCGTATCTGCGGGCACCTCCAACCTTGACGAGACCACCGCTGAGAGCGCCGCCGCTCCAGCGCTGTCAAACGACGCATGGGCTGCAGCAAAGGCAAAGGTTGAGGAGGCCCATAGGCCGCGAGACGAGGAACCGCAAGAAGAGAGAAGTCTATTTGCGATCCTACAGGCTAATAAAGGTAGGTCTTGCCCGGGAGAATGAAGTTAATTGGGCGCAATTGTTGATGCTAGGAGCTTGTAGCGAAGAAACAGGAGGAGTTCGAGGAGAAGCTGAAGTTTAAAAATCAGTTTAAACCACTGGACGAGGACGATGTTGAATACCTGGTATTTACCCTCCTTCAACTCTTCGAAGTGTGGAATCTAACTACCATTGTAGGACTCAATATTAAGCGGTGAGCGCCGAGCTGAGGAGGCGAGAAAGCAGGAGCTTGAAGCGCAACTAGACGCGTTCCGGCAGCAGCAGTCCGAGATCGAGCAGACGGGCGCAGCGCCAGAAGCAGAAGGCACTGCTGAGCTTACAAGCTGGGGAACTACGGGCCGAAAGCGGAGGAAGAAGGAGGAGGGCGGCAAAGGGGGGAAGTTGGGCCTGGGTGTGAAAGTGAGAAAGACAAGCTCCACTACAGCGGCAAAGGTGGAAAAGAAGGAATCCCCCAATGAGGATGAGAAGCCAGACGCCAAGGAGGCCAATCAAGAGGAGCTTAAGCAGACCAAAGCAGTGTCCCCGCCGGTCAACAAAGAAGTACCACTGACAGAACCTAAGCAAGCTGCCAAACCGCCTGTAGTTGGAGGATTAATGGGCTTAGTTGCATATGACAGCGATGAAGATGATGACTGACCTGTGATCCAAAGTGATTTCTTTTTGTAAGATAGGATATAGGATAATATTGTTAAAGATTTTTAATAACTCTGAAGGTTGTCGTGCGGGTTACTTATAACTTGTGGAAACCACATGTATATAATACTCTCTGAGGAGTCTTCCTTAGTCTTTAGGGTTCGCTTTTTCTTTTAAATGATGTAATCTTGATGTGGCGATAGTCAGTGATGCTCTTGGCTATTCACTAGATAGATTTTGCATAAATATTTACACAAGACAGGGAAACAAGTTTTTTCAGATAACTCCGAATACCAAAAAGAACAAAGAGATACCAACATGTCAATGGAAATCCTGCATGCATACACACATACCTTGCAAACAGAAAATCAAGTCGCAAAGGTGAGTCGACGTTTACATGTACTTTGATACCATGGAACCACGTGGACTCTGTGAAGCTCGGAAATATACACTACATGTACCCAGGACCATTACAACGGCCACAAACCTCTAAACTCCTTATTCACATTCTCGGCCACTTTCGAATTGACTGATAAAACGCCAGTATTTACCGTACCCGCACGATGCCGAGATCTACAAATCCCGATTCATGCTATAATGAGGAAAAACCCAGAAAAAGATATCGAGGATCTCCCTTTTCGATATTTCCTCTGATTGGCGCAGCTGTTTGGTTTTGTGAGTGAATAGAGCAGATTCTTATACGGGTTCAAAGTAAACAAAGCTTACTGTTGTAGCTATGCTCTGGTCTATGATGATCATCTGGGTTTCACAACGTCAGCCTAGATACAGTCACATGAACGCAAATCAGCACATGGCTTATATCTCAGATATCGGTATTTCTACCGATTTCAACGAATTGAAAACTTTTCTGATTATGGGTGTAGGGTCTAATGTCATGAAACCTTTCTTCATTGTGGGATGTTCAGTTACCGCCGCTATGTTTTCGGTGTCGTTATTTTCAGTCCGTATGATTTTACACATCAATTCAACGTCCGTTTGGATGAGGTGCTAGTATATATGAACCTAACCTATAATCGTAGGCCGCAACTATGCTTCGGTGGGAAAACTAGAAAAGCTCTTCGATATCATGTCAATTTTATCTGGTATAGCGGGTTCAGTGGGCTTGATACTCCTATCGATTTTTGACCTGGCGCGTCACCGCACTTTACACATCATCTTCTTGATGTTATTTATGATGGGTATTCATCTAAGCCTTCTGTATAATTTGTGCAAAGTGGTTAACATTAACGTATAGGCGTTATCTTGTCAGCATCCTCTACGGTGCACGAGTATTGCCATGTCGGAAGGCATTATGAGGATTTCGAGATACTTAGGGTCATCTCATTCGTGAAGATTGTGCTAATCGCCATTGAGGTTACATTGTGAGTTATTAACCATGCATACATTAATTCTAAAGGCCGATGTCTTTCTGAGGAGTTGTGCTAACCTGGTGATTTTAATTATAGGACCATTCTTTTGGCCGGATTCACATTAGGGAAATGGTACACCGCCGCTACATGTACCGAATGGGGTTTGTTCCCACCCTTCGTGTTCATATATGATGGATGTAAAGCTTACAAAATAGCGTGTGCTTACACCTACACCTTTTATATGCTTTCTTATTTCTTTGACCTTAGACCCATGGCTATAACCAAAGATCATGCCGAGCTTTTACGGCTATTGAACGCCAAAAGAAACCGCACACCACTTTTTGGATCACCTCAAATGGCCGAGACGCCTACTTCAGAGCGCTAATGAAGTCAAGGTTAACTCGGTTATAAATAGCCGATGGGGGGCTGGATAACGAGGGTCTATTAATATACTAATAAGCTCCATAACCAAACCTGACTAGAGGTGTTGATCATGGAGATGAAGGATTTATGTACGCTTAATCCACTTAAGCCCCAGATACGACTTCGGAATCCACAAAACCTTGAATTTAAGGCTATGGAATTGAATAGTCTACCCCGTTTTGAGTGTTTAATGTTATTAGTACCGATATTCTCGATTTACAAAAATACCGGACCACCAAGGTGCGCGAGTGATTATCCATGATTGAAAATGAACTTGTCAACCCACATTTCATTCTCGACTTTGAATTGATTGATTGATTACTTTATCTTCTCGAATTTGGAAAACTGTAGAAAACCCTTTGGATTGGAATTGATGAGGACATGCAGAAAATATAAAACATGTTTCTACTCATCTCATGTAACTTATTGGGTAAATGGTAGACATGACTACCAAGAAGTTCCCCCAATTGCGCCGTTTCGATCCTCCCAGTACTCCCACAAGCCCGGCCCACTCTACTTTTCACACATAGTAATAGTCGCCTTATAGCTCAACCCCTCCACCAGCGTCTGCACCCTCACCCTACAGCTCGGCGCACACCTCAACATCTGATCAATCATGACTTGCCAGGCAATCTCCCCGCCCTCGGCCACAGAGCACACCAAATGCTCCCTGCCCTCCTGCTGCAGAAAGACGCCACGGATATGATGGTCCTCGAGCAGCGGGTAGCGCAGCTTCATGATCGTGATGACAATCACGAGCGACGGCGGGTCGCGGGACCGGAACCACACGTCGTCCTCGGTCGTGTCGACGCAGGAGATTGTTTCGCCGACGAAGATGTGTAGGCCATGGTTGGAGGGGGAGGCGGGGACGATGTTGGTTTCGCGGGCGAGTTGGATCTGCGGGATCAGTTATAATTAGCAAAGTTGAAAATAGCCATGAAAGCGGGTTTGGAGTTTGTAATTACTCCGACTTTACTAGCTCTGCTGGTCACCCTCATGGTAACCCTCCTCGTCACAGCCTGCCGCAGAACTTTCTGTTGGCCTTCAAAAGAACCCGGATCCATGATGTTAGTTACTATAGTGTTCGAACAATTGCAAGCCCACACACACACACACACACCCCCATCAGCTCACAAGACCCACCTATAACCTGTCCCCCCACCTCCAACCCCAACCCCAACCCCACCTCCAACTCCACTTCCCACCTCTGTGTCCCCCCCTTCTCCCCACCTGCACCCTCCCACGGCCAGCAGTCCACACACACGCCCTCGCCCCACCCCGTATCGTAGCACTGCCGCAGCTTGAACACGCCGCAGCGCCCGCAGCGCTGGGCGCGCAGCCCGCGGCACCACGGGCAGCGGGCGCCGAGAGGGTGCAGGGGGAACACGTCGGTGCTGTAGAAGAGTTTGCAGGTGGGGCAGGCCTTGCCGGGGGTTGTGCGCGTGGGCGTGAAGGGCGGTTTGGGGTGCGCGGGGTGGAGCGTGTAGAGCGGGCGGGGCGGGGCGGGGAGGATGGGGCGCGGGGGGGTGGGCATGGTGAGCTGTGTGGATTGTTGGAGGGATGGTGGAGCTGTTGGTGGGTGGGAGTGGTGATGTGGAGAGGGTTGGAGCGTGGATTGCGTGCGTGCGTGCGTGGTGGAGGTAGATGTTAAGAGGTTGGAGAAAGGGAGGTAGGTATGCGTACATCTGAAGCGGGCGTCAAAAAATTAGAAAGGAAGGGAAGGGGAGAAGAACGAGATGGAAACTCTCGAGCTACTCCGGTCTCTGTTATCAGAACTAGACTAGCTAGATACTCGAGAAAGCTCTTGGCTCAAATAATGCTTCTCCGCAAGTCTTTTCGAGGATGTGATCGTGCTGCCGGATAGTGGAGCTAGAGCGTACACAAGCTTCGTAGGTTTATTCTCACTGGATTATCGATGTTCGTGATGATATGAGGGCTGGAGATATAAGCTACATATAGCTAGCTAAGAACAAAAACTACGCCGAGCTCAACCTCGGCCTCGAACAACAACCAATTGCTTTGGAAATTTTGATTGAGCCTTGAATATAGTTGGATATATATGCAGTAGACTCTCGATATAAGCTTATAGTGATATTCTCGTTATAAAGATACCATTGGCCGGCCCGCAAGTTTCCGTTTTGCTATAGCTAGCATCCTCTCACTTCCTAGAAGGATGATTCGGGGGATTTGAGTATACGGATATGAACTTACATCAGTACTTGTATCTTGAATGAAGGTCCAGAGACCTCTCAAGAACTAAATGCCATGCATTGACATAACTCAGTAGGCCTAGATGCATTCTGGCCGAGGCTGAAACAGTTTTATTACACTTTGATGTCTTTTCTCCTCGCGAGTCGTCTTCTAGTCTCGATTTAGTATTGTTCCCACTACTACTCATTATCAGTCACCTGTGTATAGCACTTCCAATAAATACTTTTTTTGTGTGAGATTGTATGTGAATTCTTTTCAAAGAAGACCCTTACTTGAATAAATTCACCTCCATTAGCTGCATTTGGCGTTGCGGTTAGATCCCAGTCGCCATTCATCGACTTTTTTCTAGTTTCGTGATGTTGCTTTAAGTTGTGGACCATGCTCGACCATTCATATATGTGAATATACAGTGCAATGTAAAAAACCAATATCTAGCTATAGGAGCGATAATGAAGCACAAGATGTACAACTACATTACGATAATCCGTTCCACAACAGAATCTATATTCCCTCGTACAATTATGTAACCTCTAAATGGCGACCACCTGCCTCTCCTCCTCCTCCCTCCCCTTCCTCAACCACACCTTCGCAGCCTCATAACTGCCCAAGTACAGCCCACTCCCAAACGCCGTCCACCCGCCCCTCAGCGCGCCCCCCCTCATGAACCCCCTCCACCCCTCCCCCCTCCACACCTCCCCCACAACCTCCCCCACCCCCCTCCTCTCCCCGCCCCTCGCCGCAGCCGACAACATAACCCTCGTCTTCACCACATCCACCGGCGTCGTGATCACCGCCGCCACACACCCCGCCGACCCCGCACACACCGCGGCGCCCACCCCCATCTGCAGCGGCGTCGCCTCCGCCGCCACAAACCGCCGCTTCAGCGCCTCAAACACCGGGAACTGCATCGCCGTGAACGGCAAGTTCCGCCCCACGAGCGTCGTGTACCCGCGCCACAGATAGCGCACCCTCGGGATTTGGCGGAGCGCCTGCAGCGACGACGACACGCCGCCGCCGCCGCCGCCGCCGCCGCCTCCGCCTTGGGACGAGATGACCTGCGCGTTCTGCTTGATGACCTCGGCGGGCGTGATGATGGCGCAGGAGCAGGCCTCTGCGAGCGACGAGGAGAGCACGGCCGAGTGCGTGTGCGAGAGGAGGAACTCGTAGGTGGTGAAGAAGAGGCCGGCGGCGGGGGCGGTCGCGATCACGACGCTGCCGACGCCCTGGTAGAGGCCCTTGTAGAGGTGCGGGTTTCGCCAGAAGGTTTTGCGCGCGGTGGCGGTGGCGGGGCTGGCGTTTTGGAGGCGTGTTTTGAGGGTGTCGAGGGGGTAGACCAGGAGGTCGACGGTGAAGGCGGCGATTGCGCCGGCCTGGAGGGGGGGGGGGAGTGCGGCGTCAGTATTGGGTGCTAGGAAGCAGAAAGACGGAAAGAGAGATACTTACGAGCAGAATATCGGTACTCGCCATTCTGGATGCTTTTGATGTGAGGATTAGATACTTCTGGAGTGTCGCTCTTTACCTGCTCTACGCTTGTTAACTACTCCAGATTGCTGTGTATTGCTGTGACGTCATGATCGCCGATCATTGGCGCCACCCGCCGCCCGCATCGATAAGCGGGCCCTCGCTCATGCAGGGCCCGCGAAAAAGCAATTAAAGACGAACGTTTTCACGAGCTTTGAAGCGAACGAACGGTGTGTGTATGGCTGGTATATCTATATTTCTTTACTGGATACACTCACAGGTATGCTCTCTGGCTGGTATATCTATATTTCTTTATTGGATACACTCACAGGTATGCTGCTCTCTGGCTGGCTAAATACTCCTGATCATTAAAGCCTACAAGAAAAAGAAAGATCAGATCGATAACAAGTCATTAACGTTAACAGCAACAAGGAAAAAAAAGAAAAAACCCCAAAAACCAGTATACCGCCATACCCCAAGCTACCACATCTCCGATATCCCGTTCCATGGCCGGCCAGCCAGCCACTCAATACCCCACCATTCGATTCCCCTCCCTCGCCGCCTCCAACTTCTGCGCATGCCAGTGCCCCAGGGTGATGTTATCGGGCATATCCTTTTGGATCGCTGGCTGGCCCTCCACCCTCTTCAGCAAAAACTCATAATTCCCCTCCCCCTTCGCCGGCTTCGTAAAGTTCCTCGGCGGCTGCCTCTTATCCACCGCCAGATACATGCCATCATACCGAAACCCCCTCCGCGGCGCAAACATTCCCGGACAATCCTTGCCACGGAACACCCGCAGCGGATTCCCCAGCGCCACGCTGCGCATCAAGTACTTCGTGTACCCCGTGGGCCGGCGATCTTCCTTGGCGTCCGTCCCGCAGTACCATATCTCGTCGCCCTTGTCGTCGTCGCGGTACACGCCGTTGGCCACGATGCTGTACGCGCCGTAGTTGTGGTCGCCGCAGATGCCGGCCTGCAGCGACGCGTGCGCGCCCTCGCGGTGCATGGCCTCGCGGTCGGGCCAGCTGTCGCCGACGACGAGCCCGAGGCCGCCCGGGCCCGTCTGGCGGTGCGACGCGGGCGTGTGCGGGGCGTCGTAGACGCCGCGGCGCCAGCGGGAGAGGAGGCGGTCGGCTTGGAGGCGGAGCGGCTCGCTGAATGATTCTTCCTGCGAGATTTGGGTGACGAGGTTGGGGAGGTCGTGCTGCGCGGCGAGCTCGGCGGAGATCTCGCCGTGGGCGGCTTTGAGCCAGGTGATGTTGTTGAGGAGGCGCGTGAGGGCGAGCTGGTCGGACTCGGAGAGGGCGACCCTCAGGCGCTCACTGTAGGATTCAAGGGACATGTTGCCAATTGAGTGGTCGTTATGAGACCGTCGTGGTCTAGTTGACAGTGATGGTGGTTGTGAGGAGATGCAGAAAGCAGAGGGGGGGGGGGGGGGGGGAGGAAGAAAAGGATCTAAAACTCCCAGCAGAGGGGCAGACAGCTGCCTATTTATACCCCGCGCCACCCCCGCCAGGCATCACATGAGTCGGTCACCAGATCATGTGCACAGCTAGCTACCTGTGAATCAATATATCTACATGTACACATACCCAGGTCAGGCACAAAGTTACCAGACAACGCAAGTTCCATCTCTGTGCTCTTTCTGCAGCAGTTCACGCCCAGCACACGCGCCCCATTGGTGAGCCCCAAAAACCTGTATTGTCCGGTACTTTATTCCTGCCCAGAGTACAATATATTGGGGGCCATTAGCAGTATCACAATATGACTCAATTGCCCCAATGACGCAATAGCTGCATGGCAGGCCCGGACCGGTCCGTGGAAAATTATCTGGGAGCCAATGATATGTAGGGGCGGCCCGCCATCACATCTGCACCCCCCATCAAAAGCGATCACGGGCCCCAATTCGTGGTTGATTTGTTTGTTTGTTTGCAGGTAGGTTATATCAGCTGGCTATATATCAGCCCATGTTATACGTAACCCATGAGTCCAACAATCGAATGTGTGAAGCAGCCAGTAGGCAACAGGCGGGCGCTGCAGAGATTTCAGGCGGGGTGTTAGCCCTGCTGACGCTCACGAGGATATGCACCAGCTACTTCAGCGGACGGTCGGTCATTGACCGTGGCTTCGATACTTGGCTCCGCGAGTGAGATGTTGTGACTACGAGTCCAGATACAGACCTAGCTACAAACCCGCGAGTGTAGCGGGAACACTGCCGCACGTACCGCTGTTGCTGGATGTGGTGCTCGGGCTCTCTACTGTTGGTTTCTGTACTGGTGGGGTGGAAAATCGAAGGTGGGGATCCTCACAGCTGAGACACACCGAGTGCGAGTCTGTGATGCGGTTGTTGTTACACAGCAGGGAACAGTTGACATCGTACCACCAAGCGCAAGCGGTACTACCACATCACAAATCGTTTGTCCGACTGGACCAAGTGATAATTCCACCCCCCCCCCCCCCCCCACAGTGACGGAAGTATCGTAGGGGGTGGAATATAGTATGTACATGTAGAGAGAGAGAGAGGATTATCCCTTAATCCGGCGGTGCTGCCCGCCCTATAATAGAGGAATTAGATTTGTATGAGAGATCTATTATTTGATGAGAGAGATAAGTATAGGATCTGCTGGTAAAACCACACAAAGGTTTGCTTTTTATTGGGTGGGCAGCATTTTTTTTTTCGCCAGACGAAGGGATAATACTTCTTAATTAGCGAAACACAAGTTTTGTAAAATACATATGTAGGGATGCAATTTTGAGAGCTAGGGGGGTGGAATTGTGATAGGCGTTTTGAGCTTTGGTCCTGTACTCGGACAATGTTATCCAACAGATTCTAACAAAGTAATGTATCTTCGGGACTCATTACATATATCTGTCAGGGCCAACTTCTACATCCGGCGCTCTTCTCGCTTCTCCTTTCTTCTGCTCTGTTCTCTTCAGTTCTCTTCTGTTCCTGACTGACTCGGCTCAGCTCCTTTCAAACCCAAAACTCTATTTCCACAGCGACACACACACACACACACACACACACACACACACACACACACACACACCGCAAACTCAAAACCCCAACCCCAACCCATAGGCAACCCCAACCCACTCAACCTCAACCTCAAATCCCAAACCCAGTCCCTCCACTCTACGTCACAGCCCCCTTCAAATTCCCTTCCCACCCCCACCCCCATCACCAAACCAAACCACCACAACACCGCCAACACCCACTCCGGACTCCGGACCCCGGCACGCACACGTACGCATCCTGGGCACGCTATCCCCGATGCATCCACCATCTCGCGGGGATTCCCGAGCGACGGTTTCCGATTAGATTTGATTCAGCAAGGCTGAGCTATGTAAGAAAGAGCTGGGTTGGTTTCTTTCTTTTTTCTTCTGTTGATGATTTCCCGGGACGAATGGGATTTATAGAATAAGAATAACCTTTAAGCATAAGCATAAAAGAAAAAGAAAAAGTCGTCGTAATGTAGGCTTGGCGTGTAGTTGCGGTGCGGTGGTTTGATTCACAAGGAAGAAGCAGAAGTGAAGCTGATTAGTATGGCAATGGAGGTATGGAGACAACAAGTCAATCAATCGCGAGAAGTGCACTGTGAGGGGGGCTTAGAATCATATGTATGTAGGTACGGACGCGTAGTTTGAATTTCTATCAGAGAGATAGGTAGATAGAGAATGCAGTGCCCAACAGGATCAGCAGACTCCATCCATACAGAGACAGCACTGGTATCCACACGAAAAAAAGAAGAGTTACAGCCCATGAAACCAAGCCAGAAAAAAGAAAACACCGTAGTAGTAGTAGTTATAAAAAGCAACAGGGAAAAAAAGGGAACCGTCTCATAGTATCAAATCATACAACCATTTCCCCCCACCAGTGACGTTAGTTACAGCCATTAAAATTTTGTAAAAAGAAAAGAAAAAAAGACATTTTCTCTAATCATCCAACCACAACAACAATTGCCTACAACGCAAGAGCAACAGCCAACACGGCCGCAGCACCCATAACGCTGGCACCAAGACCAACCTTGCTGGCGGCACCGGGAGCAGCAGTTGTGCTGGCCGCCGCACCAGTACCAGTAGCAGCAACCTGCGACGCCGCACTACTCAGCGCCGAAGCAGCCGCAGAACGGAAAGACGCATCGATGCTCGATGGGAGGGCGGAGATGTAGCTGGCAGCGGCAGCAGTACCAGCAGTAGCAGCAGACTCAATGCCCGACAGGACAGAGGTGTATCCGACGACAGTGGTCCACGCGGTGAGGTCGGAGCGGATGTCAGACCTGACGGACGCAACCCTTGCGGAGGCGGCGGAGGCGGCGGAGGCAATGTCGCTGGTGAAGGCAGAGGCGGCGCTGGAGGCCCTGGAGCCGAGGGAGGCGGCGTCGGAGCGGAGGCTGGAGGCGGCTGCGGTGGCTTTAGACTCGATGCCACTGCCGATGGAGTTACCGATCCCACCGACAACGCTGGTGACGCCGCCGATGGCGGAGGTCACAGTTGCAAAGGCAGAGCCGACATTGTTGCCAGCAGAGTTGATGTCGTTGACGATAGATGTGTTACTGATGGGACTGTTAGGAATTGGGTTTTCTTGTGGAGGGTAGGGTTTTAGTTAGGAAGTGACTTACATGATGTCCTTCTTCTGGACCTCAGCGCCCATCGCGGAGGAAAGGGCAGAAGTGAGGAGGAGAGCGGTGAAGAATTTGTACTGCATCTTGAAGTTTATGAGATTGAACGAGTGTTTCGTTGAAGGGCTGATTGATAAACCGAAAGGTAGAAGTGGTGGTGGTGGTTGTGGTGGGTGGGTGGGTGGTACTGAACGATTGAGTTGTGCGGTGATGGGAGTGAAATAGTGGATAGGACTGCGGGGTGGATGGGACTTTATATCAATCAGCCCTCCACCCAGCTAGTCAGACAAGCTCACTCACCACACGGGTGTAACTAAGTCATCGCCCACCAAGAGCCTGTACTGTTCTGTACTGCCCCTTTCATTTCTCCGCCGAACGATCCGAAAGCCTGACATCTGTGCACACTGGAACAGGAACAGGAACAACAGGAACAGCAGGGAAGCAGCCAAGCTGCCCAGTCCTGTAGGTAACTGCCTTCCATATCTGGTGGTGAGAAGAGTTCTCAGTCCTTAGTTCTGACACCTTAGTGAATGAGTCCCCTGTAGGCCTGTGACGGCAGAGAGCGCATGCACACCTCCCACACAATGCACATACCGCAAATCACACCCATATAGTCTCTGTCCAGCCACACGACAAGAAAGTGCGAGTTATTAACACTACATGTAGGGCCAGTGCTACTAGTGTCGCCCTCAGCCGCAGGAGGATCCCAACCACGCCAACAGCAGGCACAGGGTCTCTACCAAAAAGAGTAGCAAACGCACACACCAGCACAGTTTCGGCCACACGTTCCAGAATCCTTGGCGGCATTGATTGCCGACCAGGGTCCAAGGCTAAGCTCTTGAGAAACTGCCTACCTGCTTGCCTTTGCCTGCCTGTCTACGGTGTCCAGGTGAGGTGAGGTGAGTAAAGTGCAGTTCTGAAATGATGGATTGCCCGCTAGCCAGCCTTACAACGCCTTTTTTTCTTTTTCTTCTCCTTCCGCGTATGCATGCATCGGGAGAATGGTCTTCTTTGTTTCTTTCTTCCGATTGATCGTGTCTTTCTTCTGCTTCTTTTACGGGAGAAGCCACCAGAAGAGAAGAGAGAACACACACACGTATGTAACAGTCGCAAGAATAGCATCCCAATCACCCCCCCCCCCCCCCCCCCCCCAGACCAACCCTAACTAGCTAACGGTATTGTAGTCAATCGAGGCAGTGTCCCAGTTCCATGATGCAATCCGGTTCCCCCAATACCATCTCTCCCACTTCACTAATCACACACAACCACATCGGCACTCACGGCATTCTGTCTCCTTCTGCTCAGCTCTGTCTGTTTCTCGGTTAATCATCATCAATATTATTATTATTATCCAACTCTCCGCGCGCCGTAAACGACACCCGCGCCGCCCGTTGTCGCCCTCGTCTCAGTCGCGGCGTTGTGGGCTTAGAATAACAAACCTCCGGCAGGGCTGTTATTGTTTCTTCTGCCCGCGGTCGGTCCACGTAATCGTACCACGCTGATATTCTTATCGATAGCTGGCTGCCACTGCTACGCCTTGCGCCCAGGAAGGAACGCGCGACTATCACCACCGCCATCGCCATTGCGATTGCGATGTAAAAATCTGTAATGACATCAGCCATACTTCAGCGCCGTCAAATTAAACCTCTTTCCAAGGCGATCTAAAGACTCGTCTCGTCTCGTTTGGTGACAGGGCACTGCGATCCCGATCAGTAATCGGCTCATTGATCCCAAATCCTGTGCCGATATGCCGGAAGCTTGTTTACTTGTTACACGAGGTAGAGTGGGTAGAGCGAAAAGAAAGAAAGAAAGTCCGGGGTTGGACAGGATGCGGAGGAAACGGGTATTTCCATGTTTTTCCCACGGGGTTGTATGTCGCTGTTTCTTGGTTTTGGAAACGTTGCCCCTGGGGTGTGGGCTGCTATTTTTGAAGTCGGCATTTTTGTGGTGTGTTAAAGTGCGGTGGGAGGTTCAGATAGAGTAGAGTGGACCGGCTGAATGTGTGGCAGACACAGGTATGGGTATGTAAGTAAGGTGCCCTCTCTGTCGACGCCTTCGCGAGGCTAAGCTGGAAGTGTGGTAGAGTGAAGGCTCGTAATCTTCACGAGGAAATGGGAATTCGCGTTTTGTGGCGGGAAAGTGCCTGCCCGTTCTCGATAGATACATCGGAACCTCAAGAAACAAAACCCCGAACGTAGCGATCGTCCCCATAGCGCAGAGTAGCAGGCAGCACCACTTCTCACTCGCCCATCACCACCCCTAACCCTCTATCCCTGCAACGCGCGTACTTTATTGACCTCCGCTTCGCCCAGCAATTTAAAATAAAATTAGAGTAATTCGCCGCCCCAGCGATCACTCTACTAAGCTCTCTCCCCTATGTCATGATCATCGCCGCCGTATTTCTCAATAAACTGGATACAATCAAGTATTTCGGGTGAGGGTGGTAGATTATTTTATGTGTCGTATGGGGGGAGCCTGTGCATGAATCCATGGCCAGAATATGTAATCCCCCGTGCGCTCACCACTCTTAGTGAAACCGACGCGGTTTTGCGCTGAGATTAAGTTTTCCGCCTTACAACTGAGCAGAGTGTCTGATCGCAGATCGATCCAGGTCAGACTCTCCAACTGTCAAAAGAAAAAAAAAAGGTCCTCAACTCTATTTCCTCGCTAAAATCCAAAACCCCGAAACAGATGATACCACTCCATACCGCCAAGACGCTGCCAATGCTTGGGCTACGTACTCTATTTAGAGTAGCCTTCCAAGAAATCCACATGTGTGATGTGGCAAATTGTGGGACGGGAGTGTTCGGTCTTCTGTTCCTGCACATGCGCTTGTTTTAGGGAGGGCAAGGGGCTTCGCCGACTAGTGCGAGAATCTGTCATTGGCCGAGGGGTCTTGGTCTTAGTCTTGGTCCTGGCCCTGGTTCCTTGGTGGTGAAATAAGCACCCGAAATGTCGAATAGAGTGGAGTTTCCAGAAACATGAGCGTGTAAGATATACGAGTCTCGAGAAAACAGCTCTCTCTTCTTCCTTGGAGCTGATGCAGGCCGTTAATTTGGTCTACCTTGTTGCTAGGTCGTGAGGGAAACCTTATTCTTTTTTTTTTAGGTCACTGGAGCCACGAGGAGAGTTTTTTCTCGATGGTTTCGATTTTTGGATGGATTTCTTTTGGTTTGGAGGGCGTTTGTTGCGCATGTGCGCATGATCGAGTGAGTCCTTATGATTATCGTTGCTAGGCTTATCCCATGGCTCGTAGCAGAGGGCTTTGAAGCCCTCGCCAGTAACCAACGGTGCCTGGTTCTCGACTGTATGTCTTCTACTCGACCCCAGATCCCACCAACATGATTCTTAACGCGCGGAGCCTAGGATTGAATAGTTTCATGAGTGGTAGGTTGGAGGAGAGGGTTGTAGTTAGAGAGCCAGAACCAAGCTACGAGCCATGGGATAGGACGTCGGGAGGGCCACGTGTAGCTTTAATTTAGTTGTGAGATCTTGTGCCATTGAGAAGAGGAGTACTTGTACAAATGATGGCTCCTGTACTTTTCCTCGCCTAGTAAGATAGTTATGAGGGCCATCGTTTGACCCTACTACATATGACGGAAATATATTGCCAAAGCGGTGCCTGGATCGGAGGGCCCGTAAGTCTTTTGCTGCGGGGAGAGACTGTTACTCATTGTTTTTTCGTTTTTTTTTTTTTTTTTTTTTTTTGGATAAAAGTAAGCCTGGTGATTCTGGAGGAGGGGGGCGGTGCGTACATTACTAGGCCACTGCATGCTACCGGTATAGACTTACATGTAGTATACCGTCATGACTTCCGCGACGACTTTCCATTCTACTGTAGGAGGTATTTCGACAGAAGTACCGATATCATAGGTAATGGCTCTATGAGAATGTTCGGAGGGAACCTCCATAAATACTCTGCTGGCTTTCCCTTAGTGCTATGATGATGCCACACCTCCGCCACGACACCCTGAACCTCTATTGTACACATACGTACATGTATATACGTAGCATGTACTCTAGACGATTCATGTTCCTGGCGCCCATTCTCTCCTGCGACTTGATCATTGCCGCACATACCGAGAAATAAGAGGGTGCCCTGCATGGTCGTTGGGCGAGGCTGCGGTAACAACTTAAGTAAAATTGGTCAGCAAGTCTAATTTCTTTCTTTTCGGATTAAATAAAGCTGATTGCGGAATATTGGAAGGTTGAATTTTGAGTTCGATCCTGAGTGGAATCTTCGTGATTTCGGCGAATTGGACTATATGAACGCTTATAAGGATGACTGGCGGGGCCTGTCTGGGACGCAATAAAACAAAAGGGGAACCGTCCTACCCCTCGGGGTCTTTTAAACCAATTATTTGGTCTCCCTCACATTGCTCAGAAGAAGCGCGATGGCGAGTGATACATCATGACGTTGAGATTACCAACAACCAGGTTCGTTCCTTCCCATTTAACTTGATACTTGGGCTTTCGTTTTCGTATCGTGCAATGCCAAGGGTGGGTTCTTAGATCTTTCTTCGCTCGTATTTTGGAGGTGGCATTTATTATGTCGGACATGTTCTGGTGTTTTTTTTTTTTTTATTATTATTTAACGAGAATGTAGCTGAACACATACGATCCTAACCAATCTCAACTTGACCTTAGATAAGTAACAGTTATTGCGCTAGAAACAGCTTAGAAACATAACACTCTCAATACCTTAGACTTCGAAGGATTCATAATCGGCCGAGCGGGGGAGCCGGAGTAGGAGGTGTCTCACTTTTGGCGAGACGAACATAAGATCATAGAGCGACCCGATAGTATAACTTTATTAAAAATGCCATGCGCAAAGCAGACCGCAAATTCGCTTATCTCCCATAAATTTCAGAGAGCACAAAAAACTGTATCGGGGTGGGTGTGTGTACCTGTGTTACTGGCGGTGGGCTTTAGTTAAACGTTATATAAGCAAGCGGAGAGAGTTGCTCCAATCCGTTGTGGTGTAATGGTTAGCATCAGTCGCTCTCACCGACTAGATCGGGGTTCAATTCCCCGCAACGGAATAATGTTTATATCTTTTTTTTTGCGCTTTGTGAAGGACTTTTTG